TATCTTAATCTGGAGGTATTTTTATACCATAAGCTTCAATGTTTCTTCATCTGAAGCTTTTGTGCTTTTATATTTCATAGATGTTCTGTATTTATGGTTTAGTTGATTTTTCTCTCTAGTGAAGCAAGTTTTACCACCTGATACTAATGGCTTCCCAGATGCCTTTCTGTGTGACTTCTGAGCAAAGTTTGTCAGGCAAAATCTGTGGGAAATAACTATAGTTAAGGAGTTAGTGATAACCCGTGTGCATTGCTCAAAATGAGCTTATCTTTTTACTTTGCTTGTGGCTTTAGAAATGCCCTTTTAATTTGAGCGAAAACTTGCAAATATTACATTGTGGTTAAATATTTAGTGGGATTTTCTCATGAGACATTAGAGCTGCATTTTAAGTTAATGGTGAGACGTACTTTCATATTGGTAATGTGAAAAAGGAGAGTTGTCTCTGTAGAAGGTGCAAACAGAAACTTGTTTTCATGGATGTTTAGTTAAATTTCAGGCTTCCGTTCAGGAAAGCTGGCTTAATAATCTAACCCTCATTAAAAAGCATTGGTGATAGATGTGGCTTCAAAATGTGTAAATAATACTTCAGCGTATGGGAGGAAGAGTCAGAGTGTGGTTTATAAATTGGATTTTTAGGGTTGTTTTTTGTGATGATTATTTGGGAGGTCATTTCAGTCAGTAAACAGGGAAAGCTTTTGCATGATAAAGCCCATTTATGTTGTTTTTGTAGGGCTATAAATTGATACAAAGACATCTTAAATGTGTTACCTGTCTTTGTACTCCCAGTCATGTTTTTTTTTTTTTTTCTCCAAAATTCAGGGTGTACAACATGGAGTGGGGGTATTCATTGTTCATTGGAGGGGTGTGGAGGTTGGGTGTTGGGAAAAGGCTCTTCACTAAAGGTGGTGAGCATGAAACAGGCTCCACAGGGCAGTGGTTGTGGCACCAAATTACTGGAGCTGAAGGAGCATCTCGACCACACTTTCAGACATAAGGTTTCAGTTTTGAGTAACCCTGTGTGGAGCCAGGAGTTGAACTCCACAATCGTTTTAGGTCTCTTCCAGCTCAACACGTTCTATGATTTTATTTCATATGTTTTGAATAAAGCAACAGGTAGCCGTAAAATGTAACCCTTACTGAAATGTTGTACAGGACTTTGTAATTAAAATACTCATTTTTAGTTGAGGTCACTCAGATAATGCAAGTAATGCCCATTTCGGCCCTTCTGAACCCCGAAATGCTCATTTTCGGCCCTTCTGAACCCCAAATTGCCCATTTTTGGTTCTCCTAACCCCAAAATTGCCCATTTTGGCCTTTTTGAGCCCCAAATTGCCCATTTTTTGCCATTTTCCACCCACATTTGCGTTTCTGCCCTTCCCATTCCTCAAATTCAGTCCTCCAGAATGAGTAGTGCTAACTTTTCATAAATGACATTCCCATGCTCTGTAGTATTGGAATTTTCAGTAGACCAACACAGAACCATGAGTTTTCAGTTGTGATTCTAAAGAAAATATGAGAATGCTTAGAGGACAGCAGTCTCTTTCAGAGGAGGAAAAAAACATATGTGCATACATTGCAGGAGTAGAAATTCTCTCCATTTACATAATGGTTCTGTTGAATGAATGATGATTATTGTATTTTTCAGGAGTTTGTAGTTGTGTCATGTGATTCTACGTAGAAGGTCGAAAAGAATATAAGCGGAAAAGCTGTTCTTGATTTAATTTGTTGGTAGCAAACATGCTAACGATAGTTATGCTGAGAATTGGCTCATAAGTTTCTTTACCAATAGTTCCTAAGTGAGTTGCAAAGACATGAAAAGCCGGAATGGAAAAGGCCTCTTTAAAAAGTCGGTCTTCAATACAAAAGTGAAAGAAAACACATTATTTTCGTTCCGCTTGGCTGCAGCTTAATTCTTGGGGAAGCCACGCATAACCAAACTTGTTCAGAAATGCACTTAATGTACTTGGAAAACATTAACCTCTTTCTGTGGTTAAGTTTTTTGTTCCTGTGAGCTTATTGCAAAATTTGATTATGGGATGGAGTTCTATGTGTTTGGTTTTATACTTCAGTATGAAAACAACTTTGTTTGGGGGTTGTTTATTCTGGTGTTTTTTTTTTTGTTTTTTTGTTTTGTTTTTTTTAAATTATTACTCAACTTCCTGAATTTGACATGCTCATTTTAGTAAGAGGTATATACATGTGAAACTATTCTCTTACTGATAATAAGAGTTATCAATAAGACTATAGTTTTATTGATAATTTTCAGATGCATCTTGTTTTGTTCCCATTTTTTGGGAATTAACATCCCACAGAAGCTACAAAAGGGAAGCTAGGATTTGCATGTAATGGCTGCCCTTGGCAGCTTGGGGCTGGGTGCTGCCTGCAGGTGTTCAGAGTAGGGCTGCGCTTGTCTGTCAGCACAGGGACCCTGTCTCTGTCCCAAAGCAGCTGCATTGTTCATAGAATTGCAGAATGGCTTGGGTTGAAAGGTTCTCTGAAGGCCATATAGTTTGAACTTCCTGTTGTGGGCAGGGCTGATGCCCTGTGATGATCTGTGTATGTTGTAGGCATAGTCTGGGAGCTCCAACTGTGTTAGTGATGTCCCTTTACATCAAATTGGGGGGGGGGGAGGGGGGGGGGGGACAAAAAGGAAAAAAGGAATTCTAAATTTTCTTTTGCATGCTCTTTGCAAATCAGTCTCTCTAGAAGGTTTACTTTTCTTGTGATAAATTTCCCAGTTGGGCATCCAGCCCCAACTGTGAAGAGCTATTGTAAGAAAACAAACTAACTTTAGCCTACAGTAAGGCACCTCTCGGATTTTGTGACAAGTAGCAGTATACTGAGGAAGTGTTACTATTAGCACTTGGCCAACTTCCACTGGTTCTTGGAGACAGATTAACAGGTTTGTGGCATGGAAAAGAGTACTTCTGACTTGCTGGAGGAGAGCCATAGAAATTCTGCAGATGCATATTGCGTGTTCTCTCTAGTAGCATCCAAAAATACTATTTAATCAAAAATTAAAAATTTGTGAAAACTTTCCAAATGGAATTTTGTTCTTTTTGCAAACAGTTTTAATGTGAAATTCCAGTTATCTTTTGCTAGTATTCAACAGAAACCTAGAATTGAATTTAGGAAGTATTCTGTAGGCAGTGGAGCAGTGGCTGAATTTTGTATAGAGATTAAATAAATATGCAGGGAAGTGAGAGGGTCAGATGGGATTTTCCCAAGAGTGGGTGAGTGTGTAAGCTTGATTGAGCACAGGTATTCACAGTGCAGGCTGAGCCCTCAAGGGCAGAGCATGAGGCTGCCCTCTGCCAGCTGGCCAAGGTTTGCACCAGTCTAGAAAAAGCTGTTTCCTCATCTTGTGGCTAGCCCCAGGAAATAATTTTCTCTTACCAATCAGTGGCCTGGCAGGTAGTGACAGTGGTCTGTCACTTTCTGCAGTGAGATGTTCTTGACCTCTAGGAGTGCAAAAGGAGAAAAGACTGCAGTATAATTCATATAGTCACCTGGCTTTTTGGTAAAGGATGAACTCAGTGGTGAATAAGTAGTTGAAAATGTAACTGTTAGGAACAGTGCATTCTTAGCATTTTCATCTCTTTGGATGCCCTTGATAATTAGGTAACTGTGTGTTTTCTTTAGCAACTATTCCTTTAATAAGACCTGGGTAGAAAAAAATAAAATATTAATGTGCTATGTGTAAATGCAGATTGTATATCAAGAACAAGAATTTCAGAGTAGTAGGAGTATGTAGTGCTTTATATGAAAATCATGTTCAGAATTCATCCAGGGATCACCTCTTTTTTCCTTCCTTAAAGCAACAAAAGAATGTGTGTTTGGAAAAGAGTAAGAAGAAAATATTGTTAATGTTCCAGTGGGGGAAAAAAGGCAATGGGCTGGCTGGATGAATCAGTCTTAGCAATGTAAATATGGTTTTAGTTTAGAAAGTAGCGAACTATGAATTGATTGACCATTCACTGTTTTGCTTTTTATAGTCTTCGGTACTCTAATATTTTGCTTCTCATGGCTCTTCATGCATTTTGTGGTTTTTTGTTTTTTTTTTTGTGTTTTTTTTTTTTTGTTTTTTTTTTTTTTATATAGGGATAAGGGGAATAGGAATGATGTTTCAGAATTTTATTTTGAAAGCTTCAGTTTCTTTAGCTTTTTAAACAAATGAAAAAAATAAACTTGCTATGTTTTTAAGTTAGGCAGAGAAGAAGGGGTATATTTCAAAATAGTCCTGACCTTGCTCCTGTCTGGCTTGGCCAGCTGTCTAGGAAACGCTCGCATTATGCAAGTCTTTTTGTAGCTAGCCTCTAATAAGTGAGGTATGATTCGGTAATTGGTGTGGTAACTAACCTGGAAAACTATCCTCAGCTTCACTTGCCACCTGACTTTATATGTTCTGATGTTAATTGGTAAATTGATCTAGTGGAGAGAGGCTTGAAATGTTTACAGGCTTGACTGTGTTTATGTTAGCTCTTTTGGTGAATAGTTTATTTTTAACTATTATTATTATTATCATAAATATATATTTTGCTGTTTTGGAAACACTTGTTTTCAGAGATCGTACAAATCTTCTTGGAGATTTTTCCAAGAAAAATTTGAAAATATATTTTTGAGTTTTTCTTGGGTGTAGTTTTGTCTTCATGAATTTACGTATGGTAGGCTCTAAAATATTGACTTCCTTTTTTTGTTTGTTTTTGTTTGTTTTCAGACTAAGGCAATGGCCCAGGTCTAACTTAAGGATACATTGCAGTAATTAATATATTTAACAAAATCATAAGTAGATTTGGAGCATGGAAATCTCAGTACTTATTTATGTTCTGGTTTAGACCCTGCTGTTATTTACAATTCATTTTCTTGTAGAAGAAGCTTTTGTTACTCTTTAGCAGTTGGATTGTAATAAGGCCTTTATGTTGTTGTGTTTCTCTGAAGGCTGTTGATGAAACATAAGTGAATTGTAAGAACTGATATTTAATGTATTTTTTGTTTTATAGGTTATTCAGCAATAGTTATGAACTCCCGTTTACGAGCCTTAGGTGGGAGGATAAATAACATACGAGCATCAGAACTACCAAAAGAGAAAACTCGATCAGAGATAACCTGTAACGTTCACTTTTTGGATGGCTCAATACAAAGCTTCAAAGTCAATGTAAGTCTGGAAAACTATGTATTTGTTTTAAATCAATTAGTGTTCATTTGCAAGCTGAAGATCAAATATGGGACCCAAAGGTATGAGATTTCCACAAGATATTGAAGATGTAGCTTTGTCGTTTCAAATTCCAGATTTACTGGTTAGGAAATAGATTGATAAAGTGATGTTTTAATTTTCTCTAAAGCAACAGACTAAGGTGTCATAAAGTCTCCTTGTGACTCTGGTATCTGGTGAAAGGTCTTCTGCATGATATGGTAACAACAAAGAAACAGATATGCTGATTGCTATCAGCTGTGAATAAATAATTCGTATTTAAAGGAGACTCTTCGTTTTTTTACCAGAGTGACTTTGTTTCTGAAGTTTATCTGTTGGGTATTTATTCAAAGAAAATGAATTTTCTTGCCAAACAGGTGATTTTTTTCATTCTTATTCTAATGTTTTCATTTCAATATGCACAGAATTAGTCTAATATTTTAGTATGCATTTTATCCATTATATACTTCTATGTATTTATATCCTATATAGATACTCATACACATTTTCACATGTGTATGTGTGTGTATACATATATAAATAATGTATATGTGGGCTCTTGCACAAATACAGACATTGTTATATAAATATAATGTGAAGTATCTAACGCTCAGGAGTAAGATAGTAAGGGGCAAACATATAAGAGAAAGGGCAGTATGTGAATAGCAAAGTTTCATTATTTCCAGCATGTCAGTTTTGAATAGATCTAGCCTAAATGCCCCCTCATGCACAAGGACCTTTGAAAAAAGAGGAATTAAAACTTTTCGAAATCCCTGCATAGTAGTATATTCTTCCCAGAGAGCAAATGTTTACACAGCTTTAGACTTAGCATTTAGTCTGAAATCTAACACTGCACACCTGAATTTGTGCTTCTCATTTCATCCTTCGAGCAGCAAGTTCTAACAATCATCAAAACCTTTACAAAACTCAGGGTTCAGCTGATGCATCTCCCTGCCTTGAAGGTACCCTCAGGGTGTCTCTGCTGATTATCTCCTTGATCCAAGGATCAGAAGGGACTCCTTCACTGCAGCTATAATGCTGAACTGCCCTGAAGTAGTACAAGACCCTTTGTTTAAAAGAAGTGAGGGGCTTGGCTATCCAGGTAAATTGTCTTAATACAAGGACCAGTTTCAGGAAGATTGATGTCCTTGGAACACTGAGCTATCATATTGATACTGGGGGAGCCCTTGTCCTTCCAGATTCCTTAAACTCGAGGTCTGCCTCAGGGCAGACTTTGCCACTTTCTGATTGGGTCTATTTCTGAAAAGGATTAGAAGCAAGCTGCTGAAAATTCAGATTTGACTTCTGCTTACATTAACAGAAAAATTCAGCTTCCTAGACTTTGTGTGCATGCATCTGTTTTCATGCATGGCCAAGACCATTTGTTTTTATGTCTGTGAACAGAGAACTTCAGTCGATCAGTGGAAAACAAATGCTGGCATTTTTTCAGGGCTAGTTTGTGGGCTAAGGGTACTTGACTGATTTACGATTTTCATGCGATAGCCTGGGTGGAAATAAAGGCTCCTCTGATTCTAATGGCATGCAGCAGTTATCTGAACACAGAATTCTTACAGCAAGAAAATTTATTTACCAGGTGTAGGAATGTTATAGAGAAAAATGGAAATAAATAAATAAATAAATAAAGAGTACAAGTGGCACAAAAGAAATTTTATTTGAGTTTAGGCAAATGTATTTTCCTAGATGGTACTTTCTAATGTGTGATTGTCACTGCACAGATGCTTAGTACTGACGAATTTGAAGAGAGTTTAAATTTAATACAGAGATAATGGACTAAATAGTCTCAACCTATTGACATGCTGAAGAGAGGAACTATTTTGAACTAATATTGATGTCTTTAAAATGATGGTACAATACTCAAGAAATCACCAAATGTTTAACCTTCTGGAGAACAGAGGGAAATGGGACTTTCTCTTCATTCCATAGCAGCTGGATCATTCTGCTGTCACTGTAGTTCAATTTCCTTACTTTGTTGGCAAACTGTATAGGTTTTGAAGACTTTTAAAACGGTGACTGTAGTCATCTCTTTCATTCTCCTACGTGGAACTTTTTTTCCAAGTGATTGTATCTGTAGTAATCTGAACAAAAGCTAACCATCCTAAAATGGAGCAGTGGAAGTAGGAAGATGATTTTTACTTGTGAAAATAACACAAGGGACTTCCTGTCTTCTGAAAGATCCCAATTTCGCTGCTAAATTTATTTCTGTGAATTTCTTCTTTTTAAGCTTGTATACTAAAGAGTGCTGTTTGGCAGGTGAAAAGGGAGATTTAATTTCAAGGGAACAGTGTCTTTTTTTTTTTTCTTCTGAATTTTGACTTGAGCATGATAGTGGAAGTAGCCTTTTTTTGCTATTGTTCACTGTTTTCATGTTAAATAACTTACAGTTTTGACGAATACAAAATTTATATTGATGATCTCACAAAGAGTTAATTAGTATCACTTGTGGTACCTGCTGTTCTCTAGATCATTGTTATCAAGAAAATTTGCACTAGAGTACAAAGAGACACACTGCTTCTTTGTTTGCTGTTCAAATAGAGATGTATGTTAACCTTACCAGCTCGAAGTGGCCTGTCTTGTCTTTCCTATGTCAAGTATTTCACTGTTTAGATGGAAAATGTCCAATGTCCATCCAAAGAATGGAATGTGTATGTAGCCAAAACGTCTTAACATTAAAAAAACAAACAAACAACAACAACAACAACAACAACAACAAAAAACAAAAAAAAAAACAACCAAAAAAAAAACCATTCAAGACCAAGACATGACTGTACTTGGCATGGAATGTTGTAGTTAATTTTATTCAAGTTTTTTGGAAGCCTTCTAATATATGTTAGGTGTCTGAATTCTGTGGTAAGGTGAATTTATTTGTCTCTGAAGTAAACTCTGCCTTCCACATGGGGAAGATAATATCAGTCTAATATATACAGAATGTGCCTATGTACCATGTTTAGGTATGTTTAATAGGTGTATATTGAGCAGTAATGCATATTTATTTGCAACTTTTGATATAAACATATAAGAATTTTCCATTATTGATCTTCTTTGACTCATTTACCAAGAATGACTACTTGGGATGTATACATCTCAATTTCCAGCTAACTGAACTTTGGGAAACCTAAAACTTAATGTCAGATAATTTCTATATTGCATTATCTTTCTGAAGCACAGTCAGCATTTGTCTTTAGTACCTGTGTTTTGGTGGTTTTTTTTTGTTTTTTTTTGTTTTTTTTTTGCTTTTAAATTACTTGGCTTCCTTCTATAAATAGTCTTTCCTTTGAAAAATAAAAGGATTTGGCTGTAATAATGAAGAGTTATATGAATGTTTTTGTGTATTTTTTCCATGCCATCTCAATCAAACTCCTTCAATTGTTTGAAAAGGAATATGCTTGTTATGGTTAGCACCAACAATTAGTATTGGTATGTGTAAAACAATGAGCAGTGGTTTTCTTAAAGGTTTGTTTTAATTGTGGGTATGCATTATGACTTTAAACTGCTCACAGCAAAATGGGATAATAAAGTGTCATCTTCATCGCAAAGTGTTCCTGCCGGATGATGTTGGATAATACAGGAGAGGTTGGTGCTAATCTGCATCTCTCTGTTGAAAACTGCTGTATGAAATTTCAGACTGGCAACAAATATTTAGTTGTATATTGAGACAGATCAGGGTTCTCTATGATTGGAAAGCAGTAAGGGCATGAAACCTGATGATGACTTTGAAGAGAGCAAGAAAGTGATCTGGCCTACTGCAGGCTTATTAGTCTGATCCCTTCCTGGGGCCTGACTTCATAATAAACGCTGGAGGAAAGAATTGTTGTAGAGGAGGATTTTCCAAAGTTAGATCTGGAGTGACTAACCTCATATATGTATTTAGACATGTATTGTTTTTAGACACAGGAAATGCAGTGGGTCAGTGTTCATTAGGCTTAGATAACTATTTTGTGTGACTTTGTATAGGATAACTGAGCTGTAGTATGTAGAATCTAGCAGATTTGCAGGATGGGCAGGGAATTGACTCAAGGTGCCAGTTGTTCCTGCTGAAAAAAGATAACAGAACTGGGCATTACTGGCAGAGTTCCTGAGTGGCAAATTTCATTAACACGATATTCAATTTTTTTAGTAAATAAAAAAGTGTAAGGTCTGAGGCATCATTATTAATAAAAAAGGTACAGGGGTATGATGTTGCAGATGGATTGCCGCAAACGGGAAAATCAATGCTTTGAACTAAAAGCTTTAGGTAGTATTGCTGTGGGTGGTTGAATAGAGGAGGAAGTCACTGGTGGCTTGATCTACTAGTATTGTGGCTGTGAATAAGGCGAGTGCTACTGTACATCAGACAGGAATTTTGAGCCACTGTTAAGGATGTATTAGCAGTGTTAGTCTTGGCACTGGGGCCAGACTCTGTGGAAAGTCACGTGCACAATCACAAGCAGACAAGAGGCAAGTTCCAACTTGGACAGGCATGGAAGGAACAGCTCTTGTGAAGGAGGACAAGGATATGTGTTGCACTGTCCAGTTAAGGTGCTGCTTTGTGCCCCTTTTTAGAGTTAACAAACTGAAAGGTTTACTTGCATGTCTACCCTTCTGCTCTGAAGAACTATCAGTCTTCACTTGCATTCGGTTTACAGTTTTGAGGACCTTTGATCATACAAGCTGATGGGAAGTACTTGATATTAAAACTAATGAAGGGGTTCTTTCTCTTTAATTTCTATCAAGAAAATTTTGGGCTTGTCTAATAATTTCCTGCTGTAATTTAGGAGCTCATGTGGTAGCACAGACAGACAGTACTAAGTATAAGCTGTGACAGCTTTAAATATTAATTTTGGTGTATCCAACATAAGGTGTAAGCAATTTCAGGACAGGCTTAAATGGATCTGAATGATGTGTGGCTGTGAGGTGATTAATGCCTCTACAAATGCAAATTAATTCTATGAACACAAAACCCTTAGCACCAGAATAAGGATTGATAGATCTCAGAAAATTGAAATAAATGGAGACTTCCTTTCAGAGCAGAAACAAGAAACTATCACAAGGTGGAACTCACTAACAATACTTGTGTGGAATGTACTTAATTTCTTAGCTCATCGTAGAAAAGGAAGAGCATTATTAAGAGCTTTAACTACTCACTGTAAGAATTTGTAGGGTTAAAAACTTGGTTCTAATGTCCAGTTTAGCTGAGTGGTGTTCATGTTGCTTTGTTTCTTTCTATGGAGGATGGAAGTAAAAATAGTCTGTTATAAGCATTTGATACTTCATAGTGTTTGAGTACTTTGTATTAAGGCTGTTTGTGGAATGGATGGCAAAATTCAAAATGAGATGACATTCTTAGTCTACCTCACTTTATAGCTGGATCTGAAGCTTATTTATGTGCAAAAGAGACTGAAGATTGTGCAGCATGAGCTGTGTGAGTAATTTCTGGTTATAGAAAAATATAATATGTATACTGAAAAAATGATGCATCTGTTTCTTAAAAAAGAAAGGCTAATGTACACTTTTGCTAAGGAAAAGCAAAACAAAACTGCAGGGATTTTAACAACTGAAAAAGATATTAACAGTGGGAAATGACTTCTTAAATGTGGCATAGGTTTCTGGAGTGGGTGCTTGATCTACGCACTGTGGAGAAGAAAATCTGTGCTTTTGGTACCAGAGAGCAAGGATTGGAGTACATGAAAGTGATCTTAACTGCTTGTGAAAAGAAATGCAGAAGAGAAAGAAAAAGGAATGCTAAGCAAGTAGAGGAAACTAGCAGTGGCTGAACATCTAGGGCTGGGATTCAGAATATCGAAACAGGGAGCTTGCTTGGCTTTAGAGGGAAGGAGTAAAAAGGCTTAGAATTTTATTTATGGCAGAGAAAGAGAGATGCACCACTGAGGGAAGGTGGAGAGAGAGAGAGAGAGAGAAGATGGAGATGTCTGAATTGGATTGAAAGACCAGAAGTGTTAAAAATTATATGGGAATTGGGAGGCAGTGCTGTTGAAAAGAAAGGGTATTGGGAATGTCTGAGCTTAGAGAAAGTCAGCAGTATAATCTGCTCACCATAATCTTCTCTTCGTCTGTTGGTAGCAAAACCCCAAATTCCTAAACTCTTTTGATTGAAGTGTATGCATCATTCTAAGTAATTACTGCTTTTGGTTACAAAATAACCGTTAATTTCTCAATTAGCTCACTGTTAGAAGTATGTTCCAGAGATGCGAAGCCATGCTTCGGAGTTGTGCAGCTTCATGTGATGCCTCTTGACAGTTTTTAATGTTCTGCTTCCAAGAAAAAGAACAAGCAATGTTATCAACAAAAACCCAAAAACAATAACATAGAATTCTGGGGAGCATAACTCAGGAAATGTCCATTATTTCAGAGAATCCTGGTTGCTTTTGCTGTTTCTATTGGGAGATCTTGTGTACATGTATTGCTACTCTCTGATAAAACTCAGTCATTGTATAAGAGCCCACCTCATTGTCAGTGCTGGACAGGACTGCCTTCAAAGTGCACATCATGGCCATGTGTGATGAGGAATGCTTATTTGCATGCTTTTTGCCTGTCACTGAGATGCTGCATTTTTTATACTGAAGTCTGCTGTTTCAAGGGAAAAAAGAAATTGGTATTGATAGGTGCTTTAGTTTGGAAGGGGAAAGTAGGAGAGCCTGTCAAAGGGGAAAGGCTAGTCTCATATGTAAGAGTTAAGCATTGCCTACATTTTTCTTCTTAGAGAACTAAGCATAGCTTTTCATAGCTATTGGCTGTTATTACCTTACCTTTTGTCTGGAGTCTGGTGAAGAAATAGTGAACGAACACATCTCAGAGGAGTTGCTGGAGCTCTGCTCTGCTCTAGCAGTAGCAAGTACTGAGTAATATTCAGTACTTCCAAATAAGGTGTGTGTCTTTCACTTGAATCTTTGGTTTCCTTATTTTCTAAATAAGAAAGTTTTTTACGAGGTAAGAGGAGACTATGGACTATGTTAATATTTAAAGCACTCAGTTACAGTGCTGGTGCAGCACTGTAAAAAAAAAAAAAAGTCAAAGCAAGAAACAACAAAGTGGGGAAAAAAAACAAACAAACAAAAAAAAAAAACCAAGAAAACAGAAACAGGTAAATCTGTCTTCTGAGCAGGACGTGATTGTTGTATAATAAGTTTTAGACGAAGGGAGTTGAATGCCATATTATGTTGAGTGCTTCAGTGAGTGTTCTTACACACCGAATAAGGCCATCCACAGAGATGTGATCACTATAATGCATATGCGTTAAGTCCTTTGATATTTTTTTAAGCAAAGTACTTGTGGCATGAAAAATTTTCCACTTATGTCACTTTTGTGCACATATGCAACTTATTTCTGCTTTTAAGAATAAAATTCACAAGATCTTATGAAAAATTTTACATGCGTATAATTTTTTTTTTTTTAATAGACAAGATGCCAAGCAAACTGGCTTGGTTTGACTGCATTTGAAGCTCTGTACCTTGTTGCAATATATGTTACATGTTAGCATATTTAAGATTGCAGTCTTGTTCAGGGGGTTCTGTTTTTCTTTGTTTTCTTTAATAGCATTGATTAGTGTTTTCTTTGACGGACGCTGGTTATCAGTAGTCCACAATGCAGTGGTGTGATGATAAGCTAATTTAATTTCAGGGAAAAAAATACCATGTCTTGATGTCCCCTGGGGTTCCCTGTTTGCTCTGGTTCTTCTGGGAATACCTGACTGGACAGATGTCTAAGCAGAAAGTGTTGCGGCGTAGTGGTAGTAGTGTCAGTGGGAGTTCAGGCTGAAATCCAGGATCTAATAGTAAGAGTTACATCTTCCTCCTGCCTTTTATTCTTCATTCTGGTGTATACAAACTTTCCCTTATGAAAACTATGTGGAGATGGAAAGAGCTGCTTTTGGGATGACATCAAGAGCTGCAGCAGCCTCGTGTGGCTGTAAGCCATGATTGCAGGTTATTACTCCAGAGAAGGGTATTGCTCCTAAAAACTGATTGAGGGAGGGATGACCTGAATAAAAGTCAATTGCTGGGCTGACCTCAATGACTTGTGTTCATACCAATTCATATTGTGAGATTTGGGACACCTAATTTGTTTTGGGAGGAAAGTCTCTTTTATTTAAAAACAAAAAGAAAAATACTTTTTTTTCATAATAAAACTCTCTTGAGAAACTGGACAAATGAATTAGCTGCTATTTTTATTCACAATTGGTTTTTTTCTTAAATAAAACTTATTTAATTATTTGTGTCTTACAATGTGTAAGTGTTTCACAGTTTCACTTCTAAATGTTTCTTGTTTTCAGAAACAAGACACTGGTCAGATTTTGCTGGATATGACCTATAGTCAGTTGGGTGTGACAGAAAAGGAATATTTCGGTTTACAGCAAAATGAAACTTCAGTAGATTCACCTGTAAGTATATAAATAATAAATATGTGTGTATGTATATTTACATATGTATATATACATACACATGCATATAAAAGTAAACAGCCATTATTTGTAAATATGTTTAATCCATCTAATAGTTTTTCATTTCACAGCGATGGCTTGAACCAAACAAACCTATTAGGAAACAGTTAAAAGGTAAGACTTGGTTTTTATTTCTTGATTGTAAATGTGTAATTCAGGTTTTCTGTGTTAGATTTTCTTTTAGAGCAAGTCTTAGCTCTATCAGTCTTTTAAGCAGAACATTTTGCATTATCTTCCTGCTCCTTGGGTGTTATTAGGACCTGATGAGTCGCTAACTGTGCTGTTACAGTGTCTGCAACAGGCATCTCAGCATTACTGGGCATCAGGGCTGTGAAAGCAGAAGTCAGCTTATGGTGTCAGTAAACTCATCCTTACATGGAAGATAAGAAAGAGGGAATTTGAGAGTATCCTATCCAGTTTCATGCACAGGTTCTGGCCAATTTTTGTCCCAAGTAACATAGGAAACTTAATTTTATGCTTGTTTTTAACAAAAAAAAAAAAAAAAAAAAAAAAAGTACTTCTAAGTCCATGCGTTGTTCTAGTCTTGTTTTGTTCATAAACAGTTTTGAGTGGCACAGGTTTACCAAAAAGGAGAGCCTGAGGACAGGCCAGCCAGCATGCTACAGCATGTACAGCAGCCTAGAGAATGTAGTGTAATAGAATTTGAGTGACAGTCCCAATTTGTGTTAGAAAACTTGAGCTATATTTTTAAGATCTTTTTATTTTTACTGTATGCTGTAGGTTGTGTAGGAATTTGGATAAAAAAGTGTTAGAAATTGAGACTGTGAACTTCTGGTGTTCCTTTGTTTTTCTATAATTAAGAATTATCCTGATTGAAATGCTTCATATACATCTGCTGCTTTTTCCTTTTTCAATAATCAAGTAAAGCAGCAAAGATAACTAAATAGTACTTTTATGTAAGTACTTAAAATGAAAGCATCAGAATATGTAAGGATATTTTCTAATTGTGGTTGGTGAGGGAGATTGGAAGAGACTTCTCAAAATAATAAGAAACCACAAGTAAAATAGGTGGGATTACAATGGGATTATTTGAATAACTTTTCTGTAAACATAAAACAAAAGAACTTAGGGTGTATGTTTTTTAAAAATAAAATTGATTTGGTGTTCTAAAATGTTTTAGGAGGTTTTCCCTGCACCCTTCGTTTTCGTGTAAGGTTTTTCATACCTGATCCAAACACACTTCAGCAAGAGCAAACCAGGTAATGTCTGATGTTTAATTCCCTAAACTAAGTATGTGTAAAGCCCTCATTTCCACCTCCACAACATGGCAAACTGCAGTATGTTATGTAATATTACACAGCATAACCTTATAATTGTTTGTATTAAATGTGTTTAGAATTAGCAGCTTTGTGTAATGCTCATAATAAATGGTTTCTGCTTTAAGCAGCCCACAGTTCCAAAATACTGGTAGAGCGTAAGTTAGTTACACAAATCTTTGTTTTATTTGCACCTTGGATTCTATTTCTGAACCTTTCATGGCTGCCTGTTTTGCTTTCCTTCTTTTATAATCCCTTAATTAACCAGATGCAATGATTAAAAAATGGGAAGTTCAGTGATTACGCTGTCTGCGTGCCCTGAGCATATCAGATTTTTCTTTGTATGAGTACTGAGTTAATTCTGAATGTGTGTAGTAGATTTGTTTCCAGGGCATTGTTTATTTTGTTTCAGGAAGAGCAGGTAACAGTACTTGTTTTCTAGATCTGGCATTTTTGAAATGCTTTCTTTGTTTGCCTGCTAGTTAATTTTAGTACCTTGAGAATGTAAATAGTAAAACATTATACATGATTTTTTTTTACAGGAAAATTAAGTTGTCACCCATTTTGATATTTGCTCTTTATGCAGTTTATAAACTGTTCTGCAGCTCTAAACTTACATTAGCCACAGGATGAGGAGAAATGGCTTTAAACTGGAAGAGGGTAGATTCAGACTTGATGTTTGGAAGGAATTCTTTACTGTGTGGGTGGTGAGACGCTGAAACAAGTTGCCCAGTGAAGTTATGGATGCCCCTTCCCTGGAAGCGTTGAAAGCCAGGCTGGATGAGGCTGTGAGCAGCCTGGTTTAGAGAGAGGTGCCCTGCCTATAGCAGGGGGTTGGAATTAGATGATCTTAAAGATCCCTTCCAAACCAAATCATTCTATGAATCTATGAAATGATTCCAAGACTTGTTCTCTGCAGTTCTTTACTCCCAGCTCTCCACTACTGCTCTCAAGTAGCGCTGTCAAACATTCTAATGTGAGCAAGGCTGAATGGCTGTTGGGGGATTGTTCAAGAGCTTTTGTCTGTATGCTGCTTGACAAACATCTCATCCTCCATTGGTCATTAAAAACAGTCCCAAGATAGACTCTCAAAGAATGTTTAAAATAAATTATATCCCAAATAGGTAATCCTAGAAGAAAAGAAGCCTGATTCTGTAGAGCAGTTTTTTGCACAGCAGTATTTTGCAGTGTTTGTTATGGCATAAATACTGTGGTCCTGTGGTTGTAGTATTGATGGTCAAAGATCCTTAAAACTGTTGTGAAAAAGAATGGGTGTGAGAGTACATATTTGTAAATGCCACTAAACTTTATTTATCTGTTTTATGGTTTGCCAGGGAACTTCCCTCCATAATAAAATGAAATCAATACTTCTACCAATTTAAACAATGCCTTTTAAGTACGAGTGTTGGTTTTTTTTTTTTTCATTTTTCAAAAAAATATTTTCTAGGCACTTATTCTTCTTGCAACTGAAGACTGACATTGTAGAAGGAAGGTAATAAGAATCTTCAACTTCTCCATAATTCTCTTTAAAAGCGAACAAATAAGCCTTTTTTTTCGGAGAGTACCAATTGCTGCTATAAAGATGTACCTTATGAAATACTGCTTAAAAAAAAAAACATGAGTTGCTTTGAAACACTTCAAATTTTCATGTAGCTGACTAAGAGCAGTTTATGAGTCCGTTGTGAGTAAGCTGTGGGAGATGTTGTTTCTGCACATACATAAATTTCGTAAATAGCAGTTCATGCTTTTGTTTCTCTTTAGTCTTGGGATATCTTCTCTTTATAATGAGCATTTACACAGTGGTTCCTTTGCCCAATTCCTCTGTATTTGTACAAAAAGTTGGTCCAGATATTTCCTGCCAAATAGAAATTGCCGCTAGGATCTCTTAGTAGGTGTTGGTTATGGAATTACATCTGAACATTAGATCAGAGCTGTCTTTGTACTGGCATTTGGCTAATTTTAGTGTTTACGTTTAGTTTCAAATACATTGGATGGCAGCTATTAAAATGATGTCCAGAGTTGCATAAAAATCCCTTCTTTGGTTTCCAGAATAAGCGTCCAGCAAGAATATGTCCTTTTAGGATGAGGTACATCTATTTGCGTAAGAAAATGTTAAACAACTAACCTCTGCTGTCTGTTTGATTTGATGGTTAAACTTCACAAGAAAAAATCAGACACAATTTGAAGATAAAAAGTCGTTACTTGCTGAAATAATTGAAAATACCATGTTCACACTTGTGTTCATATTGTCTAAATAATTTCTCCTTTTCCAGGTTGTCATGCCCTATTAATTCTGCTGTTGTGCTGGCATCATACGCAGTACAATGTAAGTGATAATCAATTTTCCTTTGATTAGTAAGTATATTTTTGGTTGTTCTGCAATGAAAAATAAGGAAAGATTTCTTTCCTCTTTTTGTGTGAAATGTTCAAAACGCTACCAGGAAGCGTTGGAAGGTAGTGGAAGTTATAGCCTCCAGATGTTTTACGTAGAAAAAGCCTACTTTTTTGAGTCTGTCCAAAAAATAAATAAATAAATAAATAAAAATTAATGGTGTTCTTATTTGTGTGTTTGTAGAACATGTACTGTTCCCAATGTTGTCTTTTATTTTTCTTCTTCAAAATCATAAAGCTTAGTGCATGTTACAGTAACTGCAAGATTGCCTTCCAGGGAAATAAGAAATCACCTAGAGAACAGTTAAGGGGGGAATAAATAAACTATTATGATTAAGAAATGGATGTTCTTACATAATGGGTTTTTTTTCAGGAAATACTGATTTGTTAGATATGGGAAAACCCTCAGCAGTGATTCTTACAATTATTTCCATCCTTCTCATCTGTCTGCTACTGGTAGAAAGATGTTTTAAGGGTGATAGCAGAAAAATATCTTCTGTAAGAGAAACAAAATGGAGCTGAATCCTAGATGGATAATTTAAAAACAGCTGAAGAAAGACCTTTCTTAGTATAGCAAAAATAAATAAATAAATATAAAAATAGAGTTTGAAGGATCAGTGAATTTTGCATTACAAAAAAAAAAAGGATGGATGGGGCAAACATAGTAGAATAGTTGTACAATTACTTTAAAATAAGCAATGTCCAGAAATTATAAGAGGTCACGAATCTAAAAAATTTGAATACAGTCTTCAGAAAAGGAAGTACAGAGTGTTGAGCTCTTGATATCTATGAAAATCCCAAATAGTTGCAAAAAATTCAATGTTATGTTTATCGTATTCAGTACCTTTTTATTAAATGAACCTTTAAACACATTCCCACTTAATGAGCGAGTTTGAAACCAGAACGCTTTCTATGAAAGGCTAGCATTCCAGTTTTCTTGCAAAAGAAAATGCATGCACACTTCTGCATCTCTGGGATGTGGTAAGGCACTGGAACACTAAAACTCTCAAAACTGTTAAGATGGTTAGTGAAGCATTGGCAACACAATTGTCCTGAAGCAAGAAAGTGAAAAGGTGCGTTGAAGAATGCAAATATTTATGGCAAGCTCAGGGTTACCAAGGTCTTCAAAATATGTTATGGGTAGTGTACCTAAAATGCCAAAGTAATTCCAGTTTCCCTTCAGTTTCATAAGAGCTCCCCTTTCAGTGCTTTGGATATTTTCTAGTGCAGTTAATTTTACTAAAGCAGAATGAAGGTCAGTGAAGATTGTGAAAGTTGTGTTTTAATCTTTCTCTTTGCTGGTGGACTCTGGAATTTCCCATTTAGCTACTTGCCTCATACTCCTATTTGTGTATTACCAGTTAAAAAGTAAAATCCCTTTTTTTTTTTTATACAACAGCTAGGATGTTTGTATGATACCTACCTTTACTGTTTGCTTCAGCAAATAATGAAGCATTCAATAAAGGCATATTTACTTAAAAGAAAGTAGTCTCTATTTTGCTACCAGGTTATTGCCATTCACACAATGACTGAATAAAAAGGACCTTCTGAGACCTGGGCATCTATTTTTCCTTATCTCAACATGTTTGCTGGGATTCTTGTCAAGTAAAAATGTTTTAGTTTTCTGTTGATATTTTAATCTGTTTGTACTTTTTAAGGAGAGTTTAAGTTAATAGGTGTGGGCTACCTCCTTGTTAAAAAGCAATTGTTTGAAGCTGCTGTGGAACAGTTCTAGCTGAGCCATTTTGTGATGGTTTTCTGTAACTTCCGGTGTATGCAGAGGAAGAGCTCACAGCTGTCTGAAGACTTTAAATTCTAAGTTAGTTTAATATTGGCAAATGCATTTTTGACAGAAGCAATTACTGAATTCTGGAATCCTTTTTTAAGGAGAGTTTTAACAAGGTGTATCTCATATCTCAAAACTGCTTGACTAAAGGCATGCTTTTCTATTAGAATAACAATTTATTAATGGGCTGTACCCCTTGTTTCCTACCAGAATAAAATGACAGTGTTGTACAGTCTATAAAATTAAATAATGTATGTGTTTGTGTCAGTTTTTTTAATTTAAAATGTGTAGCTGATTTACAAGCACTTGTTTCCTGTCATTTCCTGTAGTAAGTTCCCATTTCCTCAATAGCATTTAAATGTGCCTAACTACAGGTATGTAAGAGGTCCCATGGGTTTGGTGAGAATATGCTCCCATGTGTGTTAGTCCTTTGATGGCTTGAGACCTGAATCTGAGACACAGCAGCTAAGTCAACACAAAATACTGTGAATACTTGTAAACCTTATTTTTCTTGAGTTTCATTTGTGACTGCCTATTTTTTTTCCTCCTCTAAATGCTATTTCTCTTATCCCTTCTTAGCTGTGCTTTGAGAAACAGGAGATCTCTAGCACACTGCTGTCTTATTTTTAGCAATTTACTCAGGAAGAGGTTGATGGTTTGTTTGTGATTTAAAGGTTCTTTGAAGAAAAAGAAGGTGAGGATTTTAGAAAAGGTGAGTTTAATATGCCAGTTCTTCAGGAATTAGGGTAAGAGTTTATTCCAGTTTGGGGAGCTCCAGCAGAAGTTGCCCAAGGCTGAATTCCCATCTGTATCAGAGGAGAGAGACTGGAAGATTTAGGGGAACGTCACGCTCATGAAATTAATGGCACCTCTAAAGTTAGAGTTGCACTATGGAGTTTTTCTCCATCTGCTTTTTTTTTCTTTTTTGCCTGATTCTTCTAACCAAGGTGTACAATGAGGCTTTTAATTTATTAATATCTTTTGAAAATAGAAAATTCACCAAAACCTTAGGTTTCCTAATTTGCAGACTTGCCTCTTTGCAGCTAGTGTTTTGAGATTCTTTTTTCCTTTTGTATCATGAGGCATGGTGCTTTTCCATTCTTCTTTGAAGGGAAATAATGTTCAGAAGGACATCATGGAGGCTGACATTTACTCAAAGGTTGAAGTTCTGACTACTATCCTAGTACTCTACTGAGTACTGGTATCCCTTATCCTTTGGAACCACAGTCAGATTTGATAAATACAGACAACTTTGATCTGAATTTCCAGTATTTGAAATTATTTTCCATGTATGTGAGGTAGTGTAAGGATTATGTATGTGGCCTGTCTGTCCTCCTGAAGTGTGTTGTAATTCTGCTTAATCAGAGATGCATTTGATCATGTCTGTAACACTTGTAATTAACAGTACCAGTATGTTATTGGTGGTGGTGAAGATACCGGAATCTGCTTAAATAGGTGAATTAACATATTTGTGTTTTCTTCCACACGGTTCACTGTGGTCTACCTTACTGACCTTAAGTCTGCTGGCAGCTCATAGAACTGCTCTACTAAGATGATTCTGAACGCTTGTATACAGCAGTTCTGCAGCTGTTTGGGGCTGTTGTCCCTTAATTTCATTTTTCGGTTGTGATAAGTAATGCATAGGAGATCATTAATCCAATTGTTGTTTGTCCATTATCATTTCATCATTCTGTAAATATTTGTTTGAATCTATAATACTTTAAAGCACTGAAGTACAGTTCTGTAATCTCTCACTTTATTGTGCATCATCAAAGTAAATGGTTTTATTCATGTGATAGCTAGTTGTATTTTAATCTCTACATCTACATTGATTTTACTTATTTTGGTGCTTAATTTAGTGTCGTTTTAGTCTCTCTCTAAAAAGAGCCTACATTTGTATGTTTCTTCAAAATCATGCTCTGCTGTAGTAGATTTTTTTCCTGATTCCAGAAATATTTTCATGATGGAATATCTTGCGTTCACTATTTCTCGACAGTAACTAGCAGTACTTGAACTGTATTTCAGTGCTTATATGAAGATAAATTTAGAATCAACTTTGAATACTATGTTTTACTCTCATCTTTGCACGACACTCATTATTGAGATCCTCATACGTAAACCAGTTATGCAACTTTAACTATATTTTAATCTTGGATTGTCGTTTTCTCACCTGATGACTTTTACTCCTTGGTAAATAGTTAACTAATTTAACCTTTTTTACTTAAACTTCCATTCATTTTATTCCTACCACATCATGAGGAACTATATAATTTATACCCTGAACTTGTCCCATCATTTGGTAATTTTCCATTCCCTGGCAACATGAGCTGCTCATGTTATTGTCTTCTTCGAAGACCAGGCAATTCACTTCACTTGTTTTATTAATGTCAAGCAAAATGTTCAACGCTGCAAAAAAGTTACAAATTCATTGTGAAACTAATTGATCTTTTTCAGGTATAGCTATTTTTCAGGTCTTCAGAAAGTTGATACTAAACCTTCAGGCACTAAGTTCTCTGAGGATTCTTTTGAACCACATTCTCTGTAATATCCAACTGATTCCACATCATGCTTAGTAAATGAAGCGTTCATACGCTAGCCTTCCGATGTTTCTATTTGTTTGTATTTGTTTAGAACACCTATATGCAAAAACTGGTTCTGGTGCTATTGCTTTGTACATAGACATTAAAAGAAAACTTCCAGAATTCAGAACCAACTTGTCTTCTGCACCTCTGTGAGGTTTTTCACATAAACAGTGATGATTTTCTATTTTCTCTTTAAGTTACATAAAACTAACAGCTGATCTCCTTAGAATTTTACTTTGTGGATCTACCAGACATCTTTGTGGAAATAAAGAACCAGACCAGATTTAACAGATAACATTTTGATGCTGTTAGCATTCAGCAGCCGTTTCTAAAACTGGAGACAAGCAAGTAGTATCTTGGTCACACAGCAGGAGTTTTCATGTCATCGTTTTCATGTCAAGTATAACCACAGAAAAATTCAGCTTGGAAGAAGCTTCTTCAAAGTCAGATCACGTTGCTCAGGGCCTTTCCACTTCAGTTTTCAGTTGCTAGTGTTCAGATTTGCCTGTTGCCTGTCATCTTTTCTCATTTTCTGGTCTTCTCATCTTCTGCATCAGAATTCTACCAAAATGTCCAATTTTTTTTTTTTTTTTTTATTTTTTTACCCTCACTTGAGCTTGGCCTTTCATTCCTTTGATGCCTTCCTGCACAGGAGTTTTTCTTCTGTCAGGAAAAAGAGACAAAAACATACAGCCTCCCACATTGTTCTGAGCAAATTCTTTGTAAGAAATCTGAAGAAAACATGATTTATTTAGTCTACAGTAGGGCATAGACAGATCATATCCTGTGTCAACACGTATGAGCTCAAGATCTTTTGGTTGTTTTTTTCAAACATTGTTAAATTCATACAGTACTGAATTGGGACTTCAACCAAGGAAATTATTGCAGGGTTCCTTGGCTATTACAATATCCTTTTACTGAGTTATATGCCTTTTTACATGGAGTGTTGCCTTCTGTGTGAATGGTTCTGTCATGTTCCCTTTTTTAAAGATTGTCATATTAAATACCAAACTGTAAAATACAGGAAACTGACATGAAAATACCTTTTTTTTTTTTTTAATTCCTTCTTGGTTCAGTTTCCTTACTATAATGTTATAAATAATATATATATAATATATATAATATATAATATATATATTTTTATATATAAAGTTATAATGATTTAAAGAGCAATAGATAGTTAGAATGGGGAAATGTGTTCAAAAAGGTGAAGGAAACACCCCCCACTTTTTTTTTTTTTTTTAACTGCAACTTTATACCCCTGAAGTCTATATTTGCTGCTGACCTAGGTGATCAGAACAGAAGCTATGTCAGGGGAAACTTTTAAAATATCTCAATATATTCTTCCCCCAGTCTCTGCTGCAAAAATCCAGTAAAGAAGTGGAAACCTTATGGATTTTGCTGTGGTCCTGACACACCCTAATATTTTTTTCTTTTGGAATAAGTAGAAACCTGCACAAGACCATTACCCTTTCAAAGTGTCTGCTAATCAGCATTTATAGTTTCTCTTTCACTGTGACAGTCAAGTGTTATCTGGGGAACTGAAGAAGCAGCAAGTAGCACTCTGAGCTGCTCCCTGGATTGGCATGACCTTAGTTAGCTAGAAGTGTGAAAGAGGCCAGAGCAAAGTCCTTATATAGAAGGCGAACAAGAAGAACTCGTCTCATAACGAATGAAAAAAAAGAATTACCTAATACGAATGAATTCAAGTGGGCAATTATATTCTCTTATTCCTGGTAATCTGGTCTCTTCCTCTTGACAAAAATATGATTCAGACTTACTGCAACAGAACTCTTTCACCAGAACGATATGAAAAAATGTATGCTATGTTTCACAGAAAAGATCACTTGAGGAAAGTCTTCAATCAACTACTCTCATCTGCAGATTTCTTTCTCCACTTCTACTAAATGTCTACTTTGCACAAAATGTTCAGTTGTTCCATAGTCATAGCCTTGTTCTTGATGGAAACCTGGTGTTCTGTTAATATGCTAATATTCCTAAAAATAAATAAATAATCTGTTTCAGAAGTATATACACTTCTGAATATTCTGCTTTGTTTTGTTTTGGCTTCATTTTGTTTGCTTCAAAGATGCATTGTTTGACAGCAGTATTCAAATGTGTTTTAGTTCTAATAATACATATTCAAATATTAAATATTAAATCTGAAATAATATATAGTCTCTTGACACTTGCTTTGTCACTAATTTAAAAGTCAGACTACCCTCTGAAAGAAGAAGAAAAAAAAATTGAAAGCATTGCAGGAACGTTGGTATGCAAAACTAAATTACTCATTGTTCATCATTCTACATTCTTTTTCTATTTAAATACTTCACTTGATCTTGACAGTTATGTATGCAACTGTATTAGCTTCTGACTACATTTGTTAAGAAACTGTTTTGTACCATAGTGATTCACATTCCTAGGCTGTACATGACATGCTCTTTGGATATACAAGCAGCAAATACCAGTTAGAGCCTGCATTACAAATACACCATAGTTATTGTGCCTGGAAGTTATTTCTGAAGTACACCATTTTATATTTTTACTTTTGCTCTAGTCTAAATCATTTGAGTCTCTCTTCTACTAAATAATGGTAACAGAATGATTCCTAAAGGTTCTTTAACTTCATGGTTTTGTTGCAGTTTTCCATGCTGCAGTATAGATTGCAAACACAAATACTTATCCTGTGCTAATTTACACACCATACAGAAACATTTTGGGAATCTTTATGGTTTATTGCATATAAACAACAAACAAACAAACAAAAACAAACAAAAAAAACTTCATGCTCTCAAGCAAAACAGGAGAACTGTACAAGTTCTAGTGATTTGCTTAAACATCCCATAATTTTAGGTTTAATGTCTTAAAAGTATTTCATAAAAGTACCAAAGTTAACATGAAATAAAGGTTTTAATTTGTTTGCTAAATTGAAGCTGGGTAGATCTGTCAGGTTGAGTCAGCCACCTTCCTGCTACAAACCTTGCATCTTTGTAACAAGAGTAAATGTATATCTATTCTAGCACGTAAGTTTATGCTTGTGTGTTCTTAAATAATATTTGTGTGGACTGGGGCTGTAGATCTGTGATCGTTTGTACTTCCGTGTTTTCATATACCCCACCAACTCTGTTTAAGAATTCACTTTATCTAGTGACTGAAAGTAAAGTTTTAAGGGATGTTTTTAGTCTATAAGCATATATTTAATTTTGATAAGTTGTTACTATTCTGTGTAAATTAGGAGTTATTTCTTATGCTACATTATGCCTCATGTTCAGTAGGACAATTAACATTTGAATTCTTAGGGCAGTTCCAGTAGTTCTAGTTAAAACAGTTTTACAGTGTACAGAGTAGTTGGTCTTTAAGTGACAGATCTAATTAAAGTCTTCTATCTGTTGTGATCATGTAAAGATACATCAAATTGATTTCATTTGTCTTTCTGGAGCATTTTGCTTCCTTTTAATGTTTCAGTACTACTCGTCTGTGTCACGTACTGTGTGGTGGTGTTACAGACTGGGGTTGCAAAACTGTGGCTATAAGTGAAGTACTGATTTCTTTAAGTACCTGAGACTATAGTTAGGGTAAGCATATTTTGAGAAGTTCTTCACAGTTTTAATGCAGTTAACTGTGTTCAATACTGCTTGCCTGTAGAAAAATAATTCATAATTCTTGCATTTCTCCTTATGTGTGAATATTTTGTTTTATTAATTAAGAGAAGGGATTTCTTGCAAGTGATAATTAACTATGAAAGCTTTGTGTTTCTTGTTTTCCAACAGCACAACTTGGAGACTATGATGCTTCAATACATCATTCAGGATATCTGTCCAATTACAACTTTATACCAGACCAGAACAAAGATTTTCTTACCAAAGTAGAAGCACTACATGAACAACACAGGTAACATTAATTTTTAGCTTCTTGCCTTATAAGCTCTTTAAAAAAATCTTCCTTTTGCACTTCTTTTCGAGTTAGTTATATTTCATATAATGTATATTAATTGAAATACTTGCTTTCAGCATATAGGTGTGTTGAAACTTTATAAATAAATTTCTATCGCGAGGAGTAGAATAGTTAGCACAGTATATTGTTAATGGCAACCTTCTAGAGCACTGTACAAGATACTTGTGATTTTTTTGGATCAAGGGTCATTGAACATTTCTGAAATCCTAAAGATTTTTTTGTCTGTCAGTGAAAGGAGTGGTGCATAAGGGAGCCAAGCCTTGATAACAGATAACACTCTCCTCTCCTGAGTGTGATTGTAATTGGTTATTCCAGTTGAAGTCTACTGCTGATTACTCTTGTTAATCTCACTAATTTGTGCCATGACTGAATATTTAGAAAGACTGAATATTTAGAATTAGTGGTATTACCTTAAAATACCTCCATTTTCTTCACCCCTTAATATTCCTTAAATTTTTTTCTTTGCCATATTTCAGTACCCCGACCTCTCCCTCTTTTTTCTTTACTGCTGGTGGATGTGGTGAATAGTTCAGAACTTCATGTGTGGCCGCTTGGCACAGTCCAGAACATGCATGCTGTTTTGTCAGTTATGGGGGTAAAACAGAGATAACTACTGAACTCGCACAGCAACTTTTCCTTTAGCATAGGTAATAATCTGGTCTGCTTTTCTAGATGTTCAAGTTCAGGAATGCAACACCCAAGGCCTCTGCTCCTTCACAATTAATCTGATTCCAGAAGTTTCCAGAAGGCTCAGATGTCTTTGGCAAGGAACTTGTAGACAGGCATGAATAAATGATTTTTAGGAGGAATTTGTCCTGCAAGCCACTTAGGGAAGACTCTGGATAGTCTTGGAGTGGGTATGCTGAAGTCATGGCTTTACTGTTATCATAGCCAAAGATATGAGTATACCCTGCAGAGGACAGACTAGAAGTCTGCGCAAAACTCTGTGTGAACAGGTGAAGTCTGTTGGAAAGCACTTTATTTTCTGGATTCTTTCAGTGAAACTGATGCTTTCTTTGAACAGTTTTGCTAGATTAAGGCCATTGGTAGCTGTTTTAGTAGACTGAAGTTTAAATGCTATATTGCAAGCACTCTCTTCACATAGGTCATGTAATAAGAGTTATGAATAACAATACTTGAATAGACTGTACTAGGAAAAATAATTCTTCATTCATTTACAACATTTTTTGCTTAAGTCTTTAGGCATATTTATTTTGGAGTTCAGGGAGAGGGAGACAGGTTATTGTGTATTCTGGCAGTATTCCTTGCATCCTTCTTGGCAAATACAGTGAATACTGCTGTCTGAGACATTGTTTTCATGAGCTCAGTGCCAGCAATGTATTTGACAAGAATGATTGTGGTATTCACTGCACCTTCTAAGAAAAAAGTGCGAAAGGGTGAATTTATCTTACTATTTGAGGAGAGCGATGTTTGAAATGAGATCTGAAGAGAATTAGTAGTATTTGGCATACGTGCTGTGTAACATCTGAAAATTATTATAACTTTTTAAACCATTCTTAAGATTTCAAACCCAGCCCTGTGAAAATCTGTCCTTTTTCATTCTTCAACTATCATGGGGAAAAAATGAATGATCGTAATTACTGAAATGCAATATAGATTTGAGAAGACGCATTGCATCATGTTTGCTCTAGCTCCAATGCAATATTTTTAACTGGATGTCATATTCTTTTGCCAAAACTTAGAAGGAAGTTCTATAGACATACTTAAGGTACTGTTCAGCAGAATGTGGGTGCTGAGAAAGCAACTGCTATCCTTTCAAACTAGTAAAGCCTTCAGATATTTTCCTTCTGTGTTCATCTCTAAATCTATATAGACATTCTTTTCTCTTGCCTATCTATTTTGCTCAGTAACTGCCCACCACCAGGGACCTGTAGTGTTACCTTCCCCTCTATCAGACGAGTAGGGGGTCAAACAAACAAACAAAAAATTCTTAAGTCTCTCTTGAGGCACTTCTTAGTGGCCTAAATGAGACATATTTAATCTGAAGTAGATTATATAAGCAAATTGAGAATTAAAATTTGTAGGCGTTCCTTCTTGTTAGTTGTCAGGCTTTCCTTATCTTCCTAAGCAAAATTCTTGATAAAAAATTAACAAAAAGAAAATATACAGAAAGGAAACATCCTGTTGCATTATCAAATTGTCATTTTGTATGTTTGTTTTTCCATCCTCAACCTTTCTGGTAAACTGAAGGACACGATGTCAACTTATTATTTTTTTTAAATCAAGGTGATGGTAGTCACTGTAGATGTAGATCTGGGTAAGGACTTTATCTGCAAACTGCTTTTTGTTTCCCCTTCAGTCCTTATTCCGATATTGTGACATTCTCAAGTCACACTGCTGACAATGGCTTTATTACTCAAGATAACTTTGTCTTTCTAATTGCTTTCATGAAGATTGATAGTTGTTAGAATGGCAGTTCCAGGGAAGATTAGTATGGTTTGGAATTTAGAAGGTGGTATCTTGAAGTGGCTGACTTTCAAGGCAATTACTCCTTTAAAAGTTAGAATTACTGCTTTATATGAAATGTCTCTCTATCTAGTGTCCTAATGTAACATAACATTATATGTTTTTCTTACAGGTTGTTAGTTTAAATTACATTTAATTAACATAATTTAATGGGCATTTTTTCTTGTTTTTTCCTGCATTTTGTAGTAGCCATGAGATGATAGTATCTGTAGGCTTTTCTTCTTAAACATGGGTAGATAGTAATTGTTTGATCTTTGTTCTGACAGTTTCTCTAGTATGCTGTAGTGTCTGATTCACTGGTCTGTGCTGCAAGACCAGGATTATTGCTGGCACAATATGATGTCAGTAGCCCACAGCAGATTTTCTATTAGAGCAATGTTAGTATTAGAGTAGTATTAGGTTTTGTATTCTGTTGTCTAATCAGTTCTCAGATAATAAAATTATGGCCCTACAATTTGTTGGAAGCAAATATCTTTTTGTCATGCTTAAGGGGATATTCTTTAGGCTGCAATCCTTTCAGGTGAATGATTTGTAGGCTGCAGGGGAGAACGAACTATGTAGGGGTTACTTTTTGATTTTTTGTGTTTTAAAGCTCCTAATAGATTCCATGTAGAAGTTCTGTGAAGTTCTAAAGTTAGTTTGATGTGTGAGGATTTTTGAGTTCTTTTTGAAAGCAGGTGTCTGTCAGAGTCTAAAAAGTTTTTTAAAAAGTTTTTTAAAAAGTAGAAGATAGAATCCTTGCAAGTCTGGCACCACATTTCACACCTAACAACAGGGGGAAAAAATAGCATTTTGTTTATTGATTGTAAATTTAGCTTGTTGGGTTTTGTAACATTAACTTATTTGACATTTAATATTAACATTTAATATTTAATATTAACATTTAATATTCTTCCCTCCTTTCCCTTTACTTTTGTGTAGTTTCCTGCTTCTAATGTTTCTTCTTAACTTCATTCTGAGATAGTAAACAGTATATAATGGCTGTAGATACAGGTTCCTGTTACAAAAGAAGCCATTATAGTGGCCTTGTTTCCTTATCCCTTTAAACAAAACAGCTAAGATTTTTCTGAAAAGTGCTGAATGTCTGAGGCAATGACACTGTTTTATGACTTGGGCAATTTTGAGAGTCTCTTAGGAAGTCCTTACTAAATAAAGTACTTTGTGGAACTCTTTAATTAAGTTTTTCACAGATGTTGGATAGTAGACTCTTTTTTCTTTTTTTTCTTTTTTTTTTTCCTGCATTTGGAATAAATTTGATGTTATGTATTTTATTTTGTCTATGGTCTAAATCCTTTTTTTTTTTTTTTTTTTGCCCTCTTTCAGTGGCCTCAAGCAATCTGAAGCAGAGTCCTGCTACATAAATATTGCACGGACGCTTGAATTCTATGGAGTGGAATTGCACAGTGGTAGAGTATGTTTACATTGCAGTATTTCACTTGGAAAATGTTGTATACACATTCTTGTAGATATATACAGCAATAAAAACAGTAGAATTTTATTCTTGACTTTACCATGCGTAACTTTTGAATTTGATATTTTTTCAAATGCTCCGAGTAGCTTAGATTCTGGAATTACAATAAATAAAAAAAATTAGATTAATCTCGAAGGAGTTACAATGCATCTTAATAATAGTTTAATGCTGCAGTACATTTCACTTAAGAAATTTACTAAAGTTTATGAATGTCTTAATATAAGCAGCATTCATTTTCTTTACACAGCATTAAAAATATTGACCCATTTTTTATTTCCGTATCCTCTGACTATAGGCTGAATCTAAGTGGTAGGTAACCACTAGGGATGTATTTGAAACCCTTCAGACACAGTGTATTCATTGATAAGAAATATGTCCTAGCATTTCATTGTCTACTGGCATTTCATTGTTTAATTACAATGTCTGAATTGCCAATACTTCTTTTTCTTGCATCCTGGTGCACAAATGGTAATTCGTGCTCTTATAGATTAGTGAACTATTTTGGCATATAGCTTGCAGCATAAAAACCTAGTGAAGTGCAATGCAGAAGGTTGAGCTCCTTAATGAAGATGACTGCTGTTTTTACCAACATTCATTGAGATTTATTGATAATGCTGATATTGAGGATTTTAATGAAAATATCATTAGTTTCACTGGGGGATGTTCAGGTTGGATATCAGGAAAAATGTCTTTCAGAAAGAGTGGTGAGGCGGTGGCGCAGGCTGCCCAGAAGGTGGTGGAGTTCAAGTTCCCTGGCGGTGTTCAAGAATCTTTTAGATGTAGCACTACAAGATGTGGTTTAGTGGGGAAATATCGGTGGGGGATGAATGGTTGGGCTAAATTGTCTTCAGTATCTTTTGCAACCTTGTGCAGTGGATAGAAAGGATCATTTTCTTTCCTCAGTAAAATTTGTTCTTTTTTTTTATGTATGCTATCACAAATGAATGAGTGCATTGAATTAATAAAGATCCCTAAACTACTCCCGTATAAAGCTACTGTAATTACATTCATACTCATGGAAAAATTATTTTAAAAAACAGTAGTGGCCATTTTTAAGGGAATGCGGGAGTAGAAAGGGAAGGAAAAGACTGAAGGGATTAAAATATGAAAACTATGCTCATAACATCTGATAGGGGAATTAGGAGAGGCCAGTTTTACTTGACAACTGTTAAGATACATTGTTTCAAATGCGGAGGTTGTGGGTAAGTGATACCGGAAATTTGTTCATGCGTGCTATGACCCTGTGTTTTGTCAATGTAAAAATTTACCCTTATATGTTAAATGAGTATCTTAAATCTGGCTTTGTCTGGGTTCACTGTCCATTCTGTTATCTCTGTGAAATTTGTGCTTTGCTGAAGAGCCCCTTACCCATCACACCTCAGATTTCCCTGTATGCCTTTAGTTCATCAGTCTGTGCCTTTTAACTTTTTTTGGTTGCTTACTGTTTTGATAAGAGACCTTAAATTCCAGACTTTAATGATGAGACAAACTTCTATTCTCTTAGAATTCATGGGATGCAGTTTCTAAAATTATTTAAATTTCCTATAAACTTTTTGAATTGTAGGCTATTAAAATATACACAGGATGTTAGTAGAGATCAGTGTCAAATAGGAAGGACAGTTCAGAGTGGACTGAGACATTTTTCAGCCAAATAAGATTTCAGTTCAGAATAGTATCGTTCTCTGGAAATACTGCTTAAACAGTCTATTTCTTATTTTCAGTGCATTCTTTTGTATCTAATGGCACAGGATGGCTGACTGCTAGTCATGGTCACCTACCCTACCTGACACCAAACAGTATTTTTTCTGTGATCTGAATCAAATAGAGTACACATTTGAGTCAAAGCATCTCTATTCCAGGCAGCTAAGATGCATATTGTTTTGCTACTATTTCCATCTGAATTAATACCTTTGTTGCAATTCATTTATTTTTCAAAGCCTATGAGAAAAGTAATAGTACTGGGTTTCATCAGAGTGGACATTTCTGGTGTTCTGTCCTGGTAGATACTCTGTCATTTGCTAAGTTTGCTAAGCCTGTGCTGCAGCATCAGTCCTACAGAAGAGTATTCATCATTTGGCCTCATCTGGTAGTTCATGTCAGTTGTAAACAATGCTTTTCTGAAGTTTGAACAAGTCTGCTGAAATGGTCTCTGGTTTTGAAGTCTGCAGTGAAGGTTACATATCTCCCCTCACCACATCTTTACTGAGATTATTACATGAAACCCCAGCTTTGACAGGGGTATTTGGCATAGCTCTTCATAGCCTTCCTTGCTTAATTCTGTTCTCAAATCATCCTTTGTGACTTGCCAAATCCCAGTGCTTTGAACAGGTGTTAGCAGAGGCTAGTTACAAAACTGACATTTTGAAAGGTTTTCCTCTGTGAATCCTTGTAATTCAGCTTTCCTCGTGGATAAAATAATCTTAGTCTTAGATATTCTATGTGGCAGAGAAAGTGGGTAACAACTGTATTGACCTGTGTGCCAACTGTATGTCTATTTGCCTGTTTGCCAATAGACAGAAGAAACTGGTCCTCTTGTACTGGTGGTCCAGAGAGGGATGCTTTTGGATGATATTTCTAGTGGCTGGCGACTCTGCACATAGCAGGGAGGTTGAAATTAGATGATCATTGTTGTCCTTTTCAACCCAGGCTATTCTATGATGATGATGTGAAACATCAGATGAATGCCTAGCTTACTTAATCTTAGTGTTCTATTACGTGAAGTCAAACATTCTACAGAACTCAAGTGTGTGCTTCCTTCTAACAACCAAACAAAACACTTTGAGTAGAGTCTTAAACAGAGTTCAGTTATATTCAAAAATGAACTGATACTAAGAAACTCAGGAGTAAATTTAATGCCTCAAAACTATATCAAGGTTTCTTGAATTCTGTACTATATCTTCTTTTTACTTTAGAACACTATCTGATCTGATGAATAATTGTTCTGATATTAACCTGTTTCTGTTCTGGAGGGGAACTTATAGAAACTGGAGGGATACCTGCAGAATCAATGCTATTTCCATGTCCACAAAAGTCTTATTGGTGATTGCATTTGAAATTAAAAATCAATATTTAACTAACAAGATCACTGACATGATCATTTTTTACCTTGTTTGTGGGTTTTTTGTTTGTTTCGTGTGCTTATCTCTATAAAGAAAGAAGGAAAAAGCGGGACAGTTCTTAGCGCGGTTCAGTAGCACAGATGCTTTGAAAGGGAAGTGCCCATCTACCTCATCTTTCTTTTGTGAGACCCTATTTCTTTACACTGGTCCAAGATCTTGTTTTCAGATTACTTGTTTAATACAGAAGAATTCCTTAAATGAATAAGCAAGGAAGATTAGGTATTTGGACTGAGGTAGAGGCAGAATATGAAGTTTGTTTTGGCACAGCTTCTAGAAAAAATAGAGTGCTTTGGCCTACTTAATCCCCATCAAGTGTTTAGCTAATTCTCAGGACATCAGGAAAAGAGTCTCCGTCAGAGTGTGGTCAGGCACTGGAGCAGGCTCCCCAGGGCAGTGGGCATGGCCCCCAGCTGATGCAGTTCAAGGAGCATTTGGACAATGCTCTCAGACATAAGGTTTGAATTTTGGGTGGTCCAGTGTGGAGCCAGTAATTGGACTTGATGATCCTTATGGGCCCCTTCCAACTTGGAATTTTCTATGATTCTACGGTTCTTTTTCTGGTAAATTATTTAGGCTTTTTTTTTTTTTTTTTTTTTTTTTTTTTTAAAATAAAAATTTTTTTTCTGAAAAGATGTTTTTTTTTTTTTTTTTTTTTTTTTTTTTTTTTTTTTCTCCTCCTAAGCTGTTTTTCCTTCAGACTATTGATTTATTATTATTATTTTTTAATATTATTTTTTCTTTAAAGCAGGAACTTGGAGTAAGCTTCAAGTTCCAGTAACACAGGCTTCTGCTCTGTGTTACGTAGATGGTATCAGGACAAAAGCAGTTAATTAGATGTATTCCCTTGCCAAAACTCTTCAGTTTTTTCCCCAGCACATTACAGTAAAGAGGTGCAAGTTCTGGATTTCTGTATTATGCTGCCATAAACTGTGGCAAGCCAGGAGCATCTTCAGATGGAGGTTCAACCACCTCCTGTAGCAGCTGCCTTTGGACAAGTGGGGCAGCAGGTAGCCCTGCTGCTGCAGGGAATTGTTCATCATTTCAGTGAATTCTGCACTATTCTTAGATTAAGCTTGTTTGTACAGCTACCTATATAATTTTCGTTTATTAAATTCTTAGAAATAGAAATGGCGTCTCTCTTGTCAATTTTTAGTGCTGATGTATTATTTATTAAATATTTAGGTTATACACATTCTTTGTGAAGTACTGTGATATTTCACAGGTTTGTAAACTGTTGCAAATTGGATTCAGCTTAATTCAGTCATATACCTTTATCACAGTTTTATTTAACCATTTTTAAAGGATTTGCTGTAGACTTTTCACTGTTTTTAGTTCATGTGGTACGTGGTCTATTCTTCTGTATCTTACTAATATGAAGAAATAGGGATTGGATATATGAGAATTACGTGTATTTCAGTGAGCACAGAGTACCATCTAGAGGAGCAGCTAAGCTACTGAAGGCTCTAATAGAACCTGTGGCCATCCTTTGCAAAGTAATCTGAAGCTACATTTGAGTCAGACCTGATATTTTAACTAGTGGGTTCTATGCTTGTGTAGATATATGCACATATTCTGCTCTGTTTAGAAACTTGTCTATGATGTACTACCACAGGTCGATCACAGAGAAAATGTAAGCCAGGATTTGTAATTTTTGTAACATCAGGTTGGGTTTCACCTCAAATTGAGCATTCAGCTTTCCTCTTTTTTTCTTGTAAACCTCAAATTTTTGTTCTATTTTTAAGCTTTTATTTTTTCTCTACTGTCTCAGTAATCATAAAGCTATTGTAAATTATGTATGCGTCTTTCCAGTTTAGCATGTTAAGCTAACACGTTTCTTTCTTAATTAGCAATTGATTCAGTTTTGTGTATCAAATATTCATATGCATGTTCATATTGATTTAGCATATGCAGAATTGTGGCTACCTCTTGCCCAGTCTTTGGTAAGACCTCTTTGGAGGTCAGCTTAGAATAAGACAAATTTTGTTGCATTTCAAAAATTTTGACTGGCTGATCTTGAGAAATATTTCAGCTTATATACCAGTGCTGAGCTAGTGTAAGGTTAGGCTGGCAACTTTAGTGTCTTAAAGAATATCTAATATAGTTAGGTTAGCATTACAGCTTGTTTTAGTGACAGCAATACCTAGTAGATAGGATCACAGAAAAGACGGAAAAAAAAAAAAAAATAAATCCTAACAAGTGCTTGAATTTTTTGCCACAGGAGTTATATTTTAAGTATAGAAAACTAGAAAATGAATTTATAAGTAGATTAATAGGAATCGCAAAACTTATGCTTCTGCTCTTACAGTGCTTTTCTGTTGCAGGATCTCCATAATCTAGATCTCATGATTGGTATTGCATCCAGTGGAATTGCTGTGTATAGAAAACTCATCTGCACAAGCTTCTATCCCTGGTAAATTCGTTTATTATTGAAGAATTATATCTGGTCTTTCAAATTGTATTCTCATCTGCTTTAACATTTATTTCAAAGAAATTTGTAGTATATAGTTTTGTTCTTTATGAATTAACATATTTCCTTACGCTGAGGTGAAAATGAAACTTGTTAATTCTTAAGGACTTTTGAACTACTTGAACTATGTGAAATCTAGTTTGAGTCCATTCACACAGATGTGACATTGTATAAATAGGAGTACCTTGTGGTTTTAAAGATGTGTGCTGCTGTTCGTAAAGATGTTTGGTGGCTTTTTTGTTTCTGTTTAAATCAGCATAACTAGGAAGCTCAACAGCTAATGGTCTGATATTCGCTTCATAGAAATGCAAAGTGAATTACTTCAAATATTGGATTTATTGAAACAGGAATAGTCAGCACGTAAATTTTTAGATGTCATCAGACAAGGCTGTCTAATGGTAACTTGTGAGATTTAGAGTCTGTAGGGGAAGAGACTTTTTCATTGTACTGTGGTTCTGACAATATCTGACAGCATTTTAGAAAATATTCTCTATAGGAAGAAGAGTATATAAGATGTCTAATGTGAATGACATCAGAAATTAGGGAAGCTCTCATTATGAATAGTATTTATGTAGTTTATTTATATTATAGTAAGACCTGTTAAGTGAATGGCAAGTGATAGAGTCGTTTGGCTTTTCCTTAGGTTTTTTTGATTGGATTAGAAAGAAAAGAACGTTTCCCTCTTCTTTAAAATAAGTGTAATTAGATTAGAAAGTACAGTTTTATCATGTTATACATAATTTCTTCACATAATTTGTAACAGTTTTTCTGGAGAAAATTTTCAGTAAAACTATTAAGTTAGAATCATAGAATTGCTCAGGTTGGAAAAGACCTTAAAGATCATGAAGTCCAACCACAACCTAACCATACTACCCTATCTCTAACAACCCTCTGCTAAATCATGTCCCTGAGCACCACATCCAAATGGTTTTTAAACACATCCAGGGATGATGACTCAATAACCTCCCTGGGAAGCCTGTTCTTGTGTTCATGACAGGATAATGCATTTCAGTGAGTTTAATGATTTTTTGCACCTTGATTGTGCAAGAAGTGCCTATAAGCAATCTTCCTTAAATGCACAAGTTCTTCCCTCAGATCATTAGGAGCATAATCTAATAGGTATTTCCTAGGATAAAATAATATAATAGGTTTCCATTTAAATTTGAATGGTAAATGTACCATGTAGTCTCTGGATTTTCTTTTCATTGCAGTGACTTCTCTTTCAACTTAAATATATTGTAGCCATCACAAATGCATGTGAATAATGCTTTCATATACCACAGTAGTGTCTTGGGTTTTTTCCTCCACTAATGCACACTACAGCATAGAAAACTTTTATCTCTCATGTTTGTGCCCTGAGCTCCATCCTTTCATATGTCAATCTCCCAGCTTCTTGAAACAGCTGCAGATTTTAAAAATTTGCAACTGCAGGCATATTTTCTATCTTTTGCAAGGCTTATTATGCCAACTTCAGTGTCCTTTGGCATGAACAGGCAATAGTAACACCTGAAAACCATAGTGACAACATCTTAAAATCCAATAGTATGTATTTTTTATAGAAGGGAAACAGTGCTTTACAGCACGTAAGGCAAGAGGAATGCACAACATCCTATAATTCAAGAACTTCTTCAACCATAATGTCTCCTATTTTATCATGTTAGGAGATGTTACTTTTGAAGCAATCTACGTACTTTTATTCCTGCTTGCTCTTCAGGAATAAAACACAGCTGCTAAAACATTTTGCACATAAAATTGTAACTGACAAAAACAAAACAAGAAAAGAATTGGGGTGGGAACAAAAACATTTTTTCAGTTTGAGTAACTTTCTCTCCTGAAACAGCAGTTATGGGTGCTAGTAGTTTCAATTAACTGCTATTGTAATTGTTTCAAGCTTTCCTACTCTTTCTTTAAAGTTGTATTTGCGAGGAATGAAGGGCATAAACCCCACTACATAGGGGATGACTTTAGGTATTTTCAGAGTAGGTTGTAGTTATTCATTCAGGAACTGTGTCCATTTCTTCCATTCTAATCCCTCCTTACCCATTAAAAAAAGTAAATAAATAAATAGTCAGGTAAGTATGTTAGCTACTATTGTATGCACTTGTAGTGTATACTTTCAATTTCTTTTTAGACATCAAAGTGGAATACATTTTGGCAGTATCTGTAGTTTTAATGTATGTTGGTTGTGTTGAAAGCATGAAGGAGGCTCCTCATGAAACACTGTGCCTGAGAATGCAAAAAACCTATTCAGATAATTAGAATTGTTGTTTAGTCTTTTTATGTAACTGCCTATAGTAAGTCATCTCTTCCTGTGAACCGGGGAGGCTCCATCATAAATATGATGAAACTCAAGGTGGCAGCAAACACCGTCAAAGCACTCATTCCAACACCACAGTGCTCTGCAGCATTAATGGATATCAATACAGCTGTGCTGTATGGTAGTAGTCAAAGGGAGCCAAAAGTGTTTGGAAACAGAGAGGCAGTGAATAGATTGCCCTGCCTTGGTAAAGGGAGGATTGTCAATGAAAGCAAAGTTTGTAAGGAGCTGAGCACTCGGGCAGAGGCAACACAAGTCAAGGCAGTTTTAAAAATAACTTTGGATTTAACCCAAAAATTCATATTCTCTAGAAAATTATTCTTGGGGTGCTTTACTATTACGTGATCATTTCCAGGTTTATTTGGCAGGTAAAATATCTTAAAGGCAAAAGTATACAGGCTGGTCTCTGTTCTACATCGGCAGCAAAGGTAGTGTATTATATGCTGTTCACTGGATGCAGATTCTTTGCTTTGATAACTTGAGAGAAATTGCTAAAGGAATATATGCTTCATTGCTAGCTAAAATCAAGAAACTTCTGAACTAAATCTTACATAGACAACATTTGACAGGAGCTTTCCTACTGAATCTTCCTAGGGCAAACTGTAAGAATTACATTTAAGAAGTATTTTTCCTTGGGTCAAAAAATACCAGCTGTTAGCAGCAGAACCTCCATGGTGCTCAGAAATGAGTAACTATGGTTCAGTGAGTGACGAATCTGCTTTGACCTTTGTGAATGGTAGAAAGACAGGAGCCAAATATGTATCATTGTCACTGAGCTTCAGCTATTGAGCATTTTAAAAAATAAATTTTGATATTTCATGAAAGCTGCATGTTCACTGGACAGATGATTGGTAAGCGGTAGGGGCAGCTGAGCCACCTGTTAGAATAACCACAATCCATTCAGCTACTATTTTGGATGTGACACCTTCAAACCCTTGTTAAATCTAAATCCTTCAATGCCTTAATCTCTTGCTTTAGTCTATGACTTGTGCTGTACATGAACATTGCCTTGACTAATAGGCATAGTGCTGCAAATGATTTTGTGTTAATGTTACATAAAACTGTCAGATTAGCAAGTGTTGTTTGTCACTGAATTAAATAGGCTTAGTTATGCTTTAAGAATGAGTGGAATTGAGAGGTATGTTGTATATACAATGAAATAAAAGAGACTTACTGACTTGATTTGACATGAAGTGGTTATGTGGTCATGCAGAAAATTGTTTTAAAAGAAGTGGGGAGAGATGGAGAGAGTCTTGGTGTTTTAAGATGCTGGCTACCTTTTTGTTGTTAGCTGGAGGATGTTATGTTTAGTCTGTAAGGTCACTCATTTGTATTTTGTATTCCTGCTGGCACCGCATTAGTGTAAGAGCAGTGACAGCAACTACGTGAACAACTCCAAACGCTGAAGTGTAAGCAAAAGTAAAGAAACATGAAAGGAAAGAAACTAGAAAAGTACTGCTTCAGCCAGAGTAGCACTAACATTAAGATAGATTGTAATGAGCCCCACCTCAGTAAGTACTACTACAGATTTATATGACTTGTGGGCAAGATGGGAATGCAGAGCTTACAGATATACAGTACAGATCATTATCACTTGAGGCAGCAAGTCAAGTGGAGCAGATATTTCTAGAATTGTCCTTACAAAAAAGGTGGATATTATTTTAAATTTTCCAGTACCTTGAACAACAACTTGGTTGCCTAGGAATACTATGAATGAAATTCTTGTTCATTTGTGGTTCTGTAATTGATAGAGGAAAATATTTTTTTTGGAAGAGTGCAGGTTTGGTTTTCCACCCCTTTTATACAATAGTAGGAATTGTTCATTCAGTTCAATTGTTTGTAACTTGCATATATGATCTGCTCTGTGAACAAGGAGAGTTGCTCTGTGACAGTGCATCCTGCACAGGAATGGATAATGGGTTATATGCTGCTGTTCTACTTGCTGAGTGATGTGAAAACCGTGTTAAGAACTGAGATGATCTTTGATATGCTTTGTATTTGGAAATCTAAGATGCTGTAAATGTTAGCAGTTAACAGAATATTTCAAGACCTTTAGTACCAACCTTCTGAAAATCTTTTGTGTGGTATAGATTGCTTTTTCCACGAACACTGATCAGACCTGAAATAGCTTTCTCCTATCCGTATGGTTCCACCTGATTACAGACAGTGAATTTTTTTTTTCCAGAACATGTAGATTTCAATTATTGAAGAAAAGTATTGTAGAAAAGAACTAAGAATTCGGAAAAATCTTGTTTAGCTGTAGGAAAACGTGTGGGAACCTAGAAATTTATTTAATCTAGCAAAACTGATAAACACTTTTCATTTTGATTATATCCTTAAGCACCAATTCCAGTGTAACCCTAGCCTTAGAAAATCTTTATTCATACCACATATGTATGGAAGAGTATTCATTTCAGCTACATAGTTTGTTGTATTTTTTTACAGCGTTAATAATATGTGGAAAAAAGATTAACACTCATTCTTACAGTTTTCATCTGTCAAATTTGACTATGATTACAATGCTTTTGTTGTTAAGAGGAGTACATTATCTTTTAAAGCTCTGTGAAATTTCTGGGCAATTTTAGATACTGTTCAACCAATCTTGTCACGTCATTAAGGTCTTAAATTCTGTTCTTTTAGTCACAGTTGTCATATAATTCTTAAGCTATACAAACCTGACACATTTAACATTTGTGCAGCTGGTAAAGGATGTCATCAAGTTTTTACTGCAAGAATAGATTTGGTGGGAAAGAAGTGCTATGTGAGCTATTTAAAGAGTAAATGAGGAAGAGCCCTAATTTTCAAAAGACCTTTCCTCCTTAGCTAAAATTTTTTGAGTTTCTTGACGTCTATTTGCCACTCAACATACAGGAGATGATTGCATATTTTTCACTGAATGTTTAACAACTGTAATCTCTTACGCTTGCTGCACACCATGTTATTTTTATATTATTATTATTTTCCCTTCAAACGTTATTTAGTGTTTCAAGGTCTGCCTTTCTCTTGTAGGGTGAACATATTAAAAATTTCCTTTAAAAGGAAAAAGTTTTTTATACAACAACGGCAAAAACATGTAAGTAGTCATTTCACTTTTTTCTTAAGCAATTGTATTCAAATTTTTGCCTTTTAAACTTAAGGTAAACAGATGGCTGGACCTGTAGGTGCTCTGTTATGTTAACTTCCTTTTGAAATTGTTTTTTATCAACTTGCCTTTGCTATTGTGGTTCTTTTATGCTCACTCATTTCCCACTCTTGTTTCCTTTCCAACTTGGAGTCTTTCCACCCTCAGTCTGTTGGACTACATCTTTCTAAGTCTGGTATCTTTTCCATTGTATATTTCAGGGAAACACAGCTGTTCATCCTTTCTTCAGTGTTTAATAACTTAGCGTTTTACTTGTTACTAGCTGCTGCTCTTTTCTTTGTTGCTCCCTGCGCCCCGTGGAGTACCTCACAGCAATGAATCTACTAAATCTGCTTAATTTTATAGAATTTGGAGAAATGCAGCATCATTGTGTAATGGTTTTAAGACTTTACTGCTAAAAGTTCTGCTTGAAGTTCTCTTTCTGGAGACCAGTGTCACCTTTGAAAAGAGTAGCATTTTTGAAGTTTAATCATTTGAACTTTCATTAAATGATGACATTTCAAAGTCCTTAATTTGTTCTACCAATCTCTTATATAACTGTAGGCCTATATGAGATAACATTAATGCGTGCTGTGTCATGCTTAGAGCTGCAGAACTGTAGAGAAAGTGAGTCTGGCTACAAGACCTTTTACTCATTCTTAGTAGGTATGAAAAACAGACCAGATAAACTGTTAAACCTTTAGGTACAGTCATCCCTTGTCCTTTATCTCCCCTTTGCTTGAAACGTAGGGCAGCAGTCTGCATACCTGCAGTACTCTAATGATGCTGCTTTGAAAAGTCTGTTGTGGGAATGAGGAGCAGCTGGACTGCTATTGCATTTTTCTTGAACGCTGGGTTGTGACTGACAGTGGCTGATGTTGTGTTGGTCTTTTGCTTGGAAGTACAGAAGAAAATAAGTTAATAAGGCTGTAAGTAGGGAAGGTGGAAGATCGTGAAGAAAGCAGAGTGCATGCTGTGTGTTAGTAGGCAATTTTTTATAAAAGATGGCAACAAAAACACTTCAGAATTTTGCATGTCATATGTAGATTTTCTATAAAATCTACATCATTTCTTAAAGGCTGTGAATTTGTGGTCATCTAGTATATGTTCTGTTTCCTTGATTTATTCTCCTGCTCCTTTTTTTCCTTATGCCACTGTTTTGAAAAATCAACATACTTTGTCTCACTCTTTCTGTTATTCATCTGCACTTCTATCATCCCACCGCTTCAGTCTATTGATCTGCTATTTGAAAGAAGTAGGCAGTATTTCTGTTTTTACTAAAAAGCTACAGAAGTACTGGAAATCAAGACTAATGAACTACTGGATGTCTGATGTTTTAAAAGCCCACGTTACTTAGACTTAATTAAGGGTATAAGATTTATAATAGGAATAGAAGCTATACTAATTTACAGGCAACTTTTTGAAGCTTCCAAAATAGAACCTGTGTGCTTATGTAATGCTTGAGAACAGCTGTTCCTTTTCTGCATTTTAGTGTATGTTTTTACCTCCTATGCTGTAGACGTGCCCAAATTCTCTGTGATGAGATAGGCATACAGCTGATGAGAGTTCTCCCCTTATGTTAAACTAGTAAGACGCTTATTTTAGCTGTTGAGAGTTCTTCCTATTACTTTAATGGTGGCACACTTCTCCAATCCTCGCTTCTTGAAAAATGACTAGAATTCTGTTCTTTCGGAACTTCCCTTGAGAATGATGGTAAGTACTAAATCTTTGGATCCTACTAGAATACTCTTCAGCTTTGGAAATGGTACATAGAATTTTGTGGTGTGACTTAAAAGATGGCCTGTTAGTGAGCCAGAAGACCTAGTTAACAAAAGATTTTCTTAATATAAAAATTGAACAGACGTTTCTAAAATTTCTTTAAGATACTTACCTTAGCGTATGTCCATATTTAAATTCTCAGCCTATGTAAAAGTACTTAAGATTGTGTCAGCAGTTGACAGAAATTTAATTGTGACCAAATTGTTTTTTTTTCAAATTTCAATTTAAAAAAATGAAATATTAGGTGTACTTAAGTCCTTATCTTTACACTTTTCAGTACATAACTGAGACGTTCAGATAAACACATTTTTATGCCTATTAAAAGACCAGTGCTCCAGGCCAACAGAAATATCTGAAATATCCTTTAAGTTGTTCTCTGGAGTAGTATAAAACGCATGAAGTGGTATTCAGCCAACAGAGAGTAGGTCAGAAATGCTGTTACTCATTAGAAGTTCAAGTGCTGTATGCTTGTTATCTCACAAGAATTTCTGAGTTAAAATTTCACAGGGCTTGAACATATTATTTTATATAAGCTAATTAGAAGTAACTGTGGTGAGCTGATGAAGAAGAATTTGTTCCAGTACGTTGAGAGTGTGCTGCAATGGAAGGTGATGATAGTACCTTCTATGAGGATAGGAGCATGCTCGTAAAGGTATTCATTAGGATTCAGTTCAGAAAGTGATACAGAGAAAACTGGCTTACTCTTCCCAAAAAGCTGGTGGAGTCTGAAGAAGGGCACAATCTCTGAATAGAGATCCTGCTCACTTGGCTGCTAATCCTTAAATTAAGGTGAGGAGGGTCAACCCCTCTCTGTCACTCAGGTGCATTCCCTGCACCTGAGCTCTCTGGGTTAGCCACATCTTTTCACCTCGTGCTCAGCCACTGGTTTGGGCTGTGACCTAGCAATACCCGTACAGGGTGAACAAACTAATCCTACAAAAAACTTGGGTTTTTTTTTTTTTCCATTTTGTAATAGATACAGGAAATATAAAGATTACAATCATTTGAATGCCTAGCAATGCCAAAGATGGCAAAGGGGCAGGTCATTTTTAGCTTCCCCTAGAGATTCTCATTGTGGTTTCCACTATAGAGAATCTCTAAATGAAGTCATTCAGCGCTAGTTCAAGTACTTCGCAGAATGCAGCATAGTTTTCTGATGCATGACATTTTTAGAATGTTGCACAGAAAGAAAAAGAATGCAAGAAAACTAGCTTGATTATTCTGTCCAGAATTGTCTATATGTACTTCTAAACTGATCTGTTGCTGTGAACAAACAAAAGAACCCTGCAGCTAGAAGTCCAGGTGTCATCCATGGGATTTATTGCTAGACTGTAGTAGGAAGTTTTGTTAGGTCTTTGAATCATTTAATAAATCGGCTTTGCTACTCAAATCCTTACTTTCTCAGAAGTACGAACTAGAAAGAGAGCTTTGTTGGCTAATTATATGCTGCAGTGACAAAGTTCAGAAAAAAATACTTGAAAAAGATGAGCGATCAAATTGTGCACTTGCTTTTTTTTTCTTTTTCTACAGAGGTGCTGAGATTCTGATAGGCGTTAAGCTTGTTTATGACACATACCTTTCTCTTCTTTGCTTTACTCTTTGTTCTGCTTTGTTATTTATGTTTGATAACCTCAGTAACTAACCCAAGATGTATCTTGTGCAAAACTTTCTTGAGGATTGGAACCTGAAGTGGCTCAACAAGTGCTACAGTTCTTCAGGACACGAATTTTGGTGGTGCAGTTGTGTCATACCTATGTTCCACTGAGCACTGAAGTTGCGAGAGAGAATCTGCACAGCAGAAGCTTCATATTCTGCTTCCTTTTGATCTCATTATTTTGGCTTTATGTTGTAATCCAGAAAGCAGGATTGGATACGAAAAGCGGCAGCTTTAGTCCATCGTGGATTCTTTCATTTTCCCAAAGTGGAACACTTGAAGTCTTGGCTATCTTCTCAGAGAATATCAAACAGATGATTTTGTATGCTATAGCTCTTGAAAGAAAATGTGTATATATGTGAAGTCTTATATGAAGAGTTTGAATTTGAAGATAGATTCTTCCCTTCTGCATTACAACCTTAATACAATGTTAAAGAGTTTTGGGAAGATCACAATCTGACAGGAAATCCAATAATCTGTTTAGCTGTTTTGTGTTATACTTGTATATAAAATATGTTTGACACTATAGACTTAAACATTGCATTAAATTAGCAGTGTAATGATTAGAAACTGGTAAGTTTATTAATGATTTTTAATATTGCTTACACTTTTAAAAGGTTTGTTTTGGCATTTGAATTTCATATAGTCACCATGCCGTTTCATCCATCTCCAGATTAAAATCTACTATGTGATTAATTTTTATTTTCCTGAATTTGATTTGCTTATTTAGGATAAAAGTAATTTCATTGTTATTTATATGGTAGCTTTATAACCTCATTTGCTCTGTTTTATCAGCTTGTATATGTTGAAACGTACATTTTCTTACTGTTACAGAATGAATCCAGAGAGCATATTGTTGCCTTCAACATGTTAAATTACAGAGCATGCAAAAATCTGTGGAAGTCTTGTGTAGAGCATCACACGTTTTTTCAGGCAAAGAAGTCACTACCTCATGAAAAAAAAATATTATCACATTATTGGACCCTAGGTTCTAGAAATCCAGCAAAGTAAGTATTGCGTGAAAGTGTGTTTCCCATTGTAAATGCTGAAAGAAGGATTTGTCAGTGACAGCTGAATTTGAAGTTGCAGAGCTCAGTTCTGCTTGTGATTGTCAGTCTTTGTGAACCGTTGGACAAATTGTCTAACTTTGTTTTCCTTTTTTTTGCAATGATGTCATTACAATATAATGCTCATAAAAAGTTATTGAGTCTGTTTTACTGTTATCGTCTTAACTTGCTTTTTCAGCATAAGGTGTAGCAACAATACAAAGTTAAAATGTTATGTGTTTAATGATCCAGTAAGAGAATTTGCTGAACAGATTTGTTTTGAATTGTTTACTCCTTACTGTTATATAAACACTGTTTAATATGTTAGGGCAATTTCTGAAGTGCATAAAGATCTCAATTAGTTACATAGGGATGAAAAAATTTCCCCATCCAACCATTTAAGATTCCACTGTCATGACACTTCTCATCTTTTATTTCCTTTGTTGGCTTCTGCTGTCATTGAGCTGGTAGTTTCACAGTGGTATCTAAAATGTAGTTCAGAGCTTGTTATTTTGCTACATGAAGTTGGGATGTACCCGTTCCATATGCACTGTTTGGGCTGTAAGTCTTATGTCGTTATCTTCTCAAAATATGAGACTTCAGAGAATTCTTTAGTCCTTTGATTATCTGTAATCTCTATAGACTTACCAGTAAACTGCTTTTTCTGATGGTTTTTGGGAGAATATTTTCTTGCTTACTTTCTCTTTTCTTTACTTTTGCAGTGTTTCCCCTTAACTGTTGAATTGTTCCTTGTTTAATTTCTCTTTTTCCTACTTGGACTCAGATTCAACTTCTGAATGATGTCAGGAGTTGGGCTAGATCCTTGTAGGTCCCTTCTTACTCGTCATATTCTGTAATTCTGTGTTATCATAATTCCAGTTATTTCCAGAATTTTGCCAATTGGCTCTTCATGTTTTGATATCTCTTTCAGTACTGCAGAATTCATACCTAAGGGACTAGGCATAGCCTGTAAATGATGCCAGTAAAGGCACAAAGAATTGTCCAGGCACAAGAACACTGATAAAATGTTACGTTTTCCACTGAAGTGTGATCTCCATACTTTTGCATAGTACTAGATCATAGCTGAAATGAATAAAAACAAGTAGCTGAATGAACAATAAAGAACTTTTCTAAGTGTTTAGAGATGTGTATTTTGAGGATTAGATCTTTTATGGATCAATACGAACTTGTATTGAGAAAGCGACTTTCTTAACACTTGCCGAACGCTACGTCTGGAGACCTTTCTCTCTTTCAAAATTGCAAGTAGATGAAAAGATCCTATCTTTATATACACAATGCACGTACAGGCATTGCACAGCCCATATAATTTTAAGGAATAAGTTTCAAAAGGTACTGGTTTAGTATTATTCCAATTTTGGTGCCCACTGTGGGACTTGTCACAGGGATTGGTAATTGCTAGTCACTATGCTAGTTTTTTCACTACTTATGGAGCTTTTTGAAAGTCTTCTCATAGAACAATATTGTGTAGCATATTCCTTGCTGTATATTTTCTCTGCTACGTTGTTTGTTCTCTTTGGGAGTTGGATTGAGGTTATTAATTTGCTGTAGTGTGTGGCCTTGACTTATATAATAAAAAAATTAACAGTGTATAAACTGATGAATTCAGCATTGCAAAATGACTGTTGTGGTTTAATCTGACAGGTGGCTTAGCACCATGCTGTTTTTCCCTTATTCTCCTCCCATTTCCCAGTGGGATGAAGGAGAGAATAAAAATAAATTAAGAAAAAAGAAGTAGAATTCATGAGTTGAAATAGTTATTTAGTAAGACAGAGATAAGGAAAAGGATAATAGTTATGACCATGTAAAAGTTATATAAGATAGTTATGTGTGAATGTATATAACAAGTAATGCACAAGTAATTCCTCACTATTGCTGAGTGATTCTGTTATCCCCCAGCAAGCAGAAGAGAGCAAGGTAAATTTCCACCCTCTTCAAAACTCCTTCTGCATGATATCAAATGGTATGAAATATCCCTATGGCCAGTTCAAGTCAGCTGTCCTAATCCTGTTCTCTCCCAGCTCCTTGAGCCCTGAGAATGACTTTGACTCTGTGCAACACAGCTCCAGCTATAAATATTGGTTTGTTATTAACATCGTTTTTCTCATAGAACCAAAACATAGCATCATACCAGATGCTCTGAAGAAAACAATTCCATCCCGGCTGAAACTAGGACAAGTTTTTATCTGCTGAGTCATCACATAGATAAAGTGGTTGTGTGCTCAGTTAAGCCATAGTGAGTTGTTACCAATTCACAAGTTTTAACAGAAAACGTCTAGAATCATGTACTTGTATTTGAATTATGTTTTGTCAGGCACATGGCTTGGTGCCAACAGAGCATGCCAAATTTCCTGTTTTCCTTTCTATCTTCTTGAACACAATGAAGTTAAAAATAACTTCCAGAAAAGTTATTTTTACCCAGGTTTTTGATTAGTATTGAAGTAGGGATGAACTGAACAGTTTTATTGCAACAAGTGAGGGACAGCAAATGGCTCTTTTATAATGAGGGGGTAAGCACAGGTGATTCTTTAAAATGTGAATTATGTAATGTACTTTAAAAAGTATATTTTATTTAACTGAATTTTTCTATGCAATACAATTAACATATAGATTTTCACTTTTAATTCTTTTCAGGTCTGTAAACAGTCAGTACTGCAGAAAAGTCATAGGTGGAATGGTTTGGAACCCATCTATGAGGAGATCTTTATCTGTTGAGCATCTGGAGACCAAAAGCCTTCCTTCTCGATCACCTCCTGTTACCCCTAATTGGTAAAATAAATTTCATCGTTATCCCTACCTTCCAGCCTTCTACCTTGCATGTCTTCTAGCAGACTAGATATGTAGTGTCTACATATATGCTGTTATTTTGAGAGTATACATAATGGCAGGGAAAGAATGAGTGTAATTTACCTTAACTTTAGCAAGGCTTTTAAAACTCTCTGTATTAACATTATATCCAAAATATGATATCATGTTCTGGATAGGTGGATAGTAACATGGGATGGATGGCTAACTGCTGGTCTTTGAGGGGTAGATGCTAATAAATTTTACTCTACTTGGAGAGAAGTGGTGAGTGGTGAGTACTGCGAGGGTCTATCATGGAATGTGTCCTGCTGTGAGGAGAGACTGAAGCAACTGCCATTCTATAGCCTGGAGAAGAGGTTTTCCAGTTGCCAGTGTGCTGGAAATAAATGGTCTTTAAGGTCTCCTTTAGTCCAAGTCATTTTGTAAGTCTATTAATATAACTTTAACAAGTATAGGTAGCACAATGGGATGGACAGTCAGTTCAGTGCTATATATGTGGAAGTATATGATCACCTTGTGCCGTACCAAATTTTATAAAACTCATTATTTAAACTGTTTTATCTGTTGTTTAAAGTGAGACCCATAAACCTGACAAGAAGACTTCAGGGCACAGATTGCAGTAGAATAGAAATAATTCCTCAGAATGTTCTACAAATGATTACAACCTACTAACTTGTCTTCATGTTCCCTTTTTTAAGGCGGAGTCCTAGACTGCGTCATGAAATTCGTAAGGCACGACATTCATCTGTAGATAACCTTACAAATGAGATTTCTTATATTACTGAGACAGAAGATGTTTTTTATACATATAAGGGCTCTCCAACATCCAAAGACAGTGATTCAGAGTTCTCTCAGAACCACAGTCCACAGAGGAGGTAAGGGCTTCTGCAAACAATTCATTGCTCATTTTTCTCAAAAAAACCAAGCAACTTTCATATAAAACAGTGATCATAAGTTTTTAATATTGAGTTCAAACAGTGTTTTGTTTGCGTAAGATTTATTTTGACAAATTGTTACAAGTGCAAATGTGATACAAAATGTGCTGTGATACAGAATGACAAGTTTAAAAACCAATCCTTCATCCCTGAACAAAAATTCTCAGTGAAGTCTGAGATGGCAAGCCTTTTTGTATTTGTAATATCCCATCACCCAGTAAGTTTTGCAACCCTTTCCCGCGTATTATAAACTTTATAAACTTTTTTTCTCTTAGGGAATCTTCATTGGGCTCTTAAGAGTTCATTTGTTTTCTACATTATCAGCTCCAACTGAGTTGAAAGAATTACTGCCTTAGATAAAACATGGAAACATAATGATACCAGTGGTCATCTATCTTTTTCTTACTCTGAGGAACTGTAGATTGCCACTCTGAGGGCAGTCTCTGCTTTTTGCTTTCAGGTGCTTTGTTCTAATCCTTAATGACCAACTGTCTAACCACTGCTATGTTTGCTTCCAGGACCTGAAGCTCTTGTCTTTCTGCACTGATTATTTCTTTGTTTATATATTTATTATGTGGCTTTCCTCTTACTTACAGAGGTATTTCTCAATGAGTAACTTCATATTAGCATAATACTAACTTCAGAAATAATAAAGATCATTGATCAGTCAAATTTTAAACAGAAAATAGAGCTACTTTGAAACTTTCATCTGGGGAGAATACTGTGTATTAAAATGCAAGTTCCTTTATATTATTACAAAAGAAAAGTAGCTTTTGATGATCCCTTCCTTGTAACCTATATATATGATGTATTTTGAGAAGCATAGGATATTGCTTATGATAAGAATTGCTTATCTCTTTGATAGCATTCAGCTACGTAGCTGTAGCTTTAAACCCTGGACATAAAGTTGTCTTCGAACATGAAGAAAACAGTTTTTGTTCCTACATTATAGCATTGAGGTTTCTATGGAGGAGGGTGGGGGGAATGAAAATTTAATGTGCTATGTGCATATTTGGAGTTTGTCACTGGGTCATCAAAAGCATTTTTCTGTTTTTCATCCTGCAAGTCAGATGAACCATTGTGCTAGTAGTGTCCCTAACAGCTGAAATAATATATGTGTTGCCTCAAGATGTTGAGTAACCACAGATACGAAGTTGTGTCTTTCCTGTGTTTTAACATTTACAGACAATTTATGTCCTTGCGGAAGTAATTAAGCAAATAAAATTAATGTGGAGTAGAACATATGAGAAGATGGTGAATGTAGAAATTGTTGACAGAAAAACAAGTTGCTACCCTATCTACTGTGACTGGTAGATTATGTCCAGACTTCATCATTCTTGTTTTTATCTTCTCCTACAGCTTTTCTCCTTTCTGTTTTACTTTTCCAATGCCTACTGAGGGTTGAGTGGGAAGGCCTGGTTTTTATGGTGTTTCAGTCAGAGGAAATAAGGTGTTCTGAGTGTGAAAATAGCTTATTTATTTTCTGGGCACTGATTTATTCCGCTGTATCTGAGTTACATCACTCACTGTAGAGATTATGGTTATACCTCAGATAAACCTAATTTTCTGTGAGTTATTCCCAAAGTAGTCCTTGTTTCTTTGGTGTGTTTATAGTATTGGATTTTGTGCATGTAATTGAAAAATACTTACATAAATGTGGTTAATTTAAATTGAAAGCATGTTTAGGATGGGGAATATTGTGTATAGAATGAACGGTCTTTTATTACATTAACTGTTAGATGTTTGTGTAGTAAAATAGTCGTTAGTACTTCAACAACTGAGGTAAAACATTACGGTACCACACAAATAAAAGAATGTTTAAATCTATACTGAGGTTTTCAACAGTTTGTATTAGTCCACATTCCACTGATTATTTATATTCTTATACTTGTCATTATTTGCCTTGCTTCTTTTGTTCAAAGATGTAAGGTAAAATTAATTTTGTGTAGAAAAATATTTTTCTCTGAATGCTTCCATGAAATAGCTGGTAGACCAGATTCTATATCTGCTTTGCAAGAAAAGCATTTGACTTGCCTATCTTTGGTATTATGTATGGACAAACATTTGTCCTACTCTTCTGCTGTGCTTCAGGATAATTTAGCTATTAACTTAAAAACAGCTTGCAGTGTACTGATAAAACTTTTAAAGCTAACTCGCCTGTTTGTGTCAGGCTGGTCTTTAGTAGACTTGAACTGACTTAATCAAGACATGCTTTGGAAAAATATTGAAATTGCAAATCTGTTTTTGTAGAAGAGGGCCAAAAGTAGATTCTCATAGCCCTGCTTTTATACTGACTTTAGAGGACTCTTTTTTTTTTTTTTTTTGCTGCCTAGTCTGCAGTGGTGGTAGTTAATACTGAGTATAAATGATGAATGTCTTTGATGGGAGGAAAAGTCTGAAAGAACTGTGGAAAATTACTAGCAAGCAACTGCAAGATGCTGATATTAAATCCCTTTATTGTTACCTGAGCTGGACCTTGAATCTTTGTTAAAATCATATGGCTCCTTAATCTTAATCAGTAGCTACCATGGGCATTTCAGGGACTTGGGAAATGGGAGATAGTTTCTGCTTGTTTCAGTTCAGACTCTGGATAATATCTTAGGATTTTTTCATCAAAGCAACACTTATCCCAAGACTGAGTTGCCTTCAAATTCATCTATTTGCTTACTGGGACAAATGTATTGATAGAACTTGTTTGATGAGATTTGTTGTGTACTTAGTAGATTAAATCACGTTTGGAATCTTGGGAGATATTGGATTTATAGAAGATAACAGTGCTCCGGTTTCCCAATAAGTCTTTTCTCCTCCTGATAGTACCAAGCAAAAGTATTTTCCTGACCAATTTTCTTCTTGAATGTGTTTAATAATTGAAGGGAATCAGTCATGTTCTGTATTGCTTCTAGAAACAAGTACACAATTTAGAAAAATTATGGGGAACAGTTCTTGGTTCAGACACTTAAAACATATCAATTATTAATATTCAGTTGTTTCTTTGTTTCTTTCACTTTTCACAATACATTGTGCTGTATCAACATTTCAACACCTAGAACTGTTTCCTGTTATATAATTCAAATAACCATGCTGGAGATGAGGGAAAGGATATCTTATTATTTATCATATTCTTTCTCTGAAGAAAATAGTGGTTGTTTTTAAATGTACTGTGAGTATTCTACCTTCTAAGTAAAATTTGAGCGATAATTTACAGGCTGTGACTGAAAAAATAAATAAAACTAAAAAGTAGAACATACAGTGCTCATAAGTAAACTGCTGAAAACCAGGGCAGACTCTCATTTTTTTTCGTATTGGTGTAACTAGACTGCTTTAAGGTTCTATTTATTCTATTAAATCTATAAGATTTAAGGTTCTATTGCATTGAAGTAAATTTGAGGCTCAGGCATTGTCGAAAGAAGCAGTTTTTCTCTCTCAGATTAGAATCTGCAGAAAAGATCAGAGCTATTGCATATATATAATGGACAAAAAGGAAATGCTCTAAGCTCAAATTAATGTATATTAAATAGAGCTTTATTCACACAGAGTGAATAGGTTTGTTTATCTAAGCCAAGCCATCTCAAATCACAGCTGCATGCAAAGCCTGTCATTGAAGACGGTGCTGAAGAGGACTTCAAGACTTCTGTTTAGTCCAGGGAAATTCAACCTTTGTGAAGAAACCTTCCATGTTCTTTCTCCTCTTGCTTGCTGTGCTGCTGTTTGTCTTATCTGACTAATACTGCCTCTGAAAAATTAATCCTAAGACACAGCTGGAGTCTGCACTGAAGTCTTGCCTCTAATATGTTGCTTTGAGTGTTAAACTACTTTTATTATTTCTGTGCCAGAAATAATAAAAGCAGCACCAGATCTTCTGAGTCTATCTTCTGACTCTGTGTTGCAGTATTTCACAATATATTTAACCCATCCCTCCACATATACACACATTGCTACTACTGTTTTGTTTCAAGAATAGTGGTAAGATAAAACATAGTATTTATTAGGGACTGTTGGTAGCTGTTTTTCACTTAGAGTTGGTTTTCCTGTCATGCCATGAAGGTATTTTGCTTTTGTTGAGAGATCTTAATTTTCTTCGTTGAAGCACTGCTGAAATTGACTTACTAAACGTCTATTTTTAAGCAGCATGTAAAATTTATTTTTGCCTTTCTAGGTTACATTTCCTATCTTCAGAATTCCTTATGTGTGAATATGAAGGGGTTATGACTTGCCTTTATTAAAGAAAATATGTCATTATATGGAATTATTATTTCTAAAGTCATCTCTGCTAAAAAGCTGCTTTATTGTGTAGCTTTTTCAAAGCTGTTTGTGCTATACCAACAGGCTGCTTGGCATCAGATCATCCTGACCATCTGCTATCCTGATAGGCAGAGTTGTGAATTGAAGAAGCTTACCTTTGAGAAAAATGTTTCAATATAATATATTTAAATCATGGCTTGTTTTAAAGGAAGGCTGATGAGTTGTGCAGATAATTATTTTCAGTTAAAAATTTTACTTTTTTTTTTTTTTTAACCTACTGTGATACCTGAAGGTGATCATTGTTGAAGTCTTTCTTCATAAGAATACAACTGCAGTTTCCAAATTTTGAAATATACACACACTTGCACCAAGTTTGGTATAGAAGAACAAATTGTTACTGATTTCCATGACATTAACTTAGTATGTATGCTGCAGTGCCTCTTCGATCAGGTAGCAGTGGTCGGATGAGAGGTAATGGCCTCAAGTTACACCAGGAGAGGTTCAAGTTGGATGTTAGGAAAAATTTCTTCTCAAAAGGAACAGTGAGGCAGTAGCACAGGCTGCCAAGGGAGGTGGTGGAGTCATTGTCCCTGAAGATGTTCAAGAAATGTGTGGATATAACACTGAGGGGCATGGTTAGTGGGCATGGTGGGGATGGGTTGGCAGTTGGACTAGATGGATCATAGTGTTCTTCTCCA